CAGTTCATTTACCCATTTACCTATCAAAGGAGATCTTGCTTGCTTCCAAGTTTTGGCAACTATAAACAAAGTTGCTGTAAACAACCATGTGCCAGTTTTTGAATGGCCGTAAGTTTTCAACTCCAAGGAGTGTGATTGCTGGATCATATGTTAAGAGTACGTTTTTGTTTTGTAAGAAACTGCCAAACTCTCTTCCAAAGTGGCTGTACCATTTTGCATTCCCTCCAGCAACTTATGAGAGTTCCTATTGCTCCACATCTTCCCCAGAATTTGTATTGTCAGTGTTATGTATTTTCACCATTCTAATAGGTGTATGGTCGCATCTCATTGTTTTAATTTGCATTTTTCTGATGATATATAATGTGGAGCATCCTCTCATATGCCTATTTGCCATCTGTATTTCTTCTTTGATGAGGTGTCTGTTAAGATCTTTGGCCCATTTTAAAAATCAGGTTGTTCACTTTCTTATTGTTGAATTTTAAGAGTTCTTTGTATAGCTGGGATAGCAGTCCCCTTTATCAGGCATGTCTTTTTTTTTTAAGACTTTATATTTTTAGAGCAGTTTTGGGTTCACAGCAAAATTGAGGGGAAGGTACAGAGATTTCTCATAGACCCCCTGCCCCCACACACGCATAACCTCCCCTATTATCAACATCCCTATTAGAGTGGTACATTTGTTACAGTTGTTGAATCTACATTGACACATCATCACCCAAAGTCCATGGTTTACATTGGGGTTCACTCTGGTGTTGTACATCCTATGGCTTTGGACATATGTATAATGACACGTATCCATCATTATGATCAGATATGTCTTTCACAAATGTTTTCTCCCAGTCTGTGCCTTCTCTTCTCATTCCCTTGCTGGTGCCATCCATTTAATTTTTAATGTGTTACTATGTATCAATCATTATTTGGGAAATTAAAATACAAACATGAATAAAGCACTATTCCTGGCCTCAAGGAGTTCACAATCTAGTGACAAAGACAGGCAGAAACTGATAATGACAAAATTGTACGAAAAGCCCACCATTTTCCTAGGCTATTTCATTGTCCATGTAGAAGACCCCGTCCTGCAGCCTAATCTCATTGGACCTTAACTTTAGCTCTGACTTTTTTTTTTTCCTGAGGAAGATTAGTCCTGAGCTAACATCTGTGCCAATCCTCCTCTATGTTTGTATGTGGGTCACTGTCATAGCATGGCCACTGACAAGTGGTGTAGGTCTGCGCCCAGAACCCAACCCCGGCCTCGGAAGCAGAGTATGGAACTTAACCACTAGGCCACGAGGTGGGGGCTGGGGGTGGTCCTACCTCTGACAGTTTTAACCTCCACCCCACTGCAGCAAGCCCCTCCAGGGACCATGCCCTGGGGCAGGACTGACAGGCAATTATCCCGTTTCTAAAATCTCAAATGCCAACACACCATTCACTGACAACTTCCAATCCTTTAGCCCTCTCCTCTGTAGTGTTACTAAATTTTCCACGTCTAATTGCTTTTCACTCCATTCTATCCCTTTCTTACAGGCTCCTCCTCCCTTAATTTTTACTTTCTCCCTCAATGTTGCCTAAAGAAAAAAAAAAGGAGGATATTGACTTTCCGGTTCCCTCACATGACCTTTTCTTCTTGCGTCCCTTGGTCTCAGTCCCAGCCACTGTCTGTGCAGCTTATAGCTCTTTTTTCCTTTCTCTGTGATAACCTACATCATGTCTGTGTGGTCGTGCTCTGCAGCTTCCAGCAGAGGGGTGGTGGGCGCAGGATATAGAGAAATATAAAGTTTTGTACCAGAAAGCCGGTAAGCCGCCGCTCAGCACTACCTCTTTCCCAAATCCAGGGCTGCATTCAGTCTCTAAGATCACGCGAGTCCAGCCGGCTCCAGGGGCGTGGCTTCCCTCGTGGGCCGCTGGCCTGGATTGGCGCAGAGGGGCCGGCCCCGGCCAATCAGGCGCGGGGGCGTTGTCCCGGGGCGGGGCTCCCGCCTCCTGCCTCCCGCCTCCCGCGTGGCGAGTGCCTAGGTTCCCCCGCAGCCCCGGCAGCTGCTGACCCTCGTCCTCCGGGCCAGGGGATCAGGCGGGACATGGCCTCGGCCACTGTGGCAGCAGCAAGACGGAGCCTCGGCCGGGCCCCTCGGCTACTCCTCCAGCGCGGTTACCAGACGGAGAAGGGTGTCTACGGCTACCGGCCGAGGAAGCCCGAGAGCCGGGAGCCCCGGGGCGGCCTGGCGCGCCCCCCAGGTCCGGGATGGGGCCCGGGCGGTGGGCGTGGGGGCTGGGGAGGCAGGGGGCCTCCCTGCCTGGCCTGCGGTGGGGTTTTGTTGGGGTGTAGGTCGGGCTTCAGGGGGCCTGCAGTGCGCGTGCAGTCTGGTGGGGAGGAGGGGGAGGTAAGGGGGCGGAGGGGGGCAGGCGTGGGTGTTGTCAGTGTCTGGGTCACTCTCTGTCCAGCCTCGGTAGGTGGGGAACCCTGAGGTCTGGGTGTCAGCGTGGGTTCCACGCTTGAGTGATCTGTCTTTCGAGCAGTGACTGGTTTTGTGAGGTCTTTTTTCTATTCCTTGGTTGTAAACATGTGGGAGTTTAGTTCTTTGCGGAGGCGGAGCTGCGGGAAAAGAAAAGTTCAAAGATCTCCCAGCTCCTGGAGTTTAACAAGATACATTTCCAGGGCCATCTCCAAGGCTCCTGCGAGCTGGATGTGTGGGGATCACGACTGTGCTGCTGCGGTGAAGAGGGCAGCTAGTTGATCTTGGACCACAGCATAGTATTTATTGTTTATCTCCTCGACCTAAGTAGCCTCTTACTTTAATTTCAGAGTTTAAAACTCTTTGCTGAACTTGGAACCATGTTACTAGCGGTTTTAATGGATTAGGAGACACGAATATCAGTTTTTGGAACCTCTCTTGCATGCTCCTGTACAAGAGACTAATTTTGAGTATTTGGTTTATGCTCCAAAGTTATTGTATCTTTATTCATCCTCACAGGACAAAAGATAAATACAGATAGATTATTAGAAGAAAATCATTTGGTGTCGTTGATCTGGTTATTAGTTAACAATGAAGGTCCCCTTCATGATCTAAGGACCTGACATTTGAATCTTACATCACACACTGAAACCTCAGTATTTTGCTCTTGACCTCAGGGAGCATTTAGAATAAACCTGATTTCTCTCGCTTGAATGCAATGGGATTTTCTTAGAGAAGGCATTTTGGCCAACCAGATTGTTAATCTCTTGAGGGTAGGACGATAGGTATCTTATTTCACTCTGCAAATTGAGTGTCAAGAATTTTATGTCAGGGGCTGCCCTGAGGCCAAGTGGTTAGGTTCCTGTGCTCTGCTTTGGTGGCCCAGGGTTTTGCCAGTTAGGATCCTGGGTGTGGACCTAGCACCACTCATCAAGCCATGCTGAGACGGCTCCCACATTGCACAACCAGAAGGACCTACAATTAGAATATAAAACTATGTACTGGAGGGCTTTGGGGAGAAGAAGAAGGAAAAAAATGAAGATTGGCAACAGATGTTAGCTCAGGTGCCAGTCTTTAAAAAAAACAAAGAATTTTATGTCAATTGTTTTCAAATATGTGCACTGAAATCACTTTGAATGATGTTTAAAATGCCAGTTCCTAGGCCTCCCTCCCTCCCACGCCCTCCCCTCTGGGTTCTAAGTCGGTGAGCTGAGATGAGGTTCAGGAGTATGTATTCTCATCAGGCATCCCAGGTGATTCTCTAGCAGGAATTGCACGGCCACCTGTGGCCAAATACTGTTACAGTCAGAAGGGATATGTGTGCAGGACGTGTTTGACAATCCCTTCTTCATTTAGGATCATGTTAGCATGATCTCAATGCACAATTTGATTGTGATCTCATTTGAGGTTTTCCCTTACAATCGGGTCTCTATTTGATTCCTATTAACAGCCTGGTAGCTGAGAATTAAGCCTTGCCTTGGAAAAACCTGGGCTGGTGGTTCTTAACTGGAAGACTATATCTGAATCATCTTAGGAGCTTTGGGCTAGTGTGGTTTAAAAAATATCTCTGGGGGCTGGCCCCATAGCGTAGTAAAGTTCAGCACGCCCTACTTCACTGGCCCAGGGTTTGCAGGTTCAGATCCCAGGTGGAGACCTACGTCACTCATCAAGCCATGCTGTGGGAGCACCCACATACAAAATAGAGGGAAATGGGCACAGATGTTAGCTCAGGGCTACTCTTCCTCAAGCAAAAAGAAGAAGATTGGCAACAGGTGTTAGCTTGGGGCGACTCTTCCTACAGACACACACACAAAAATCTCTGGAGTTGATTTTATATATAATCTCCTCATCACCAAGTTGTCCTCTCTCCCTCTCTTGCTAGTAATGAACTTGCTGTATTGTGAGGTGCTTGGTGAAATTTGAAAGTTCAGTATGGCTTTAAAACTGCAGGCAGAGGGTACCATCTCGTATGGTATTGGGAGGGAAGAGTAAAATCAATACCAGGAAACAGTTGTTGCACAGTTACATAATCTGGCTTAAGAAATTTTGTTGCTAAGGGCAATAACTTTATTTTCATTTTCCTTATTTTTTAAATACTCTGAATAAAACTTGCAGGCAAGTGGGCCATTCTGTAACTTTCTTCAAAATTACCATTGCATATAGATCTGTGGCAGGTTTTCCTTCTTTCTGTTTCAGAACTCGTCATATTATTTTGTTGTAACTCTTTTTGTGGGTCCTTATCTCCTACTAGGCTGTGTGGGAGAAAGGAGGAAGGTGACTTGTATGTGTCGCTTCCAGTAGCATCTCATTGGCTAGAACTCTGTCAGTATATATTTGCAAAGGAGACTAGAAAGTGTAGTCTTTTTTTTTTTTAAGATTTAATTCTTCTTTCTTCTCCCCATTACCTGCCCCCCCCCCCCCCCCCCCCGCAGTACATAGTTGTATATTTTACTTGTGGATCCTTTCTAATTGTGGCATGTGGGACGCCACCTCAGCATGGCCTGATGAGGGGTGCCATGTCTGCACCCAGGATCCAAACCAGAGAAACCCTGGGCCGCCGAAGCAGAGCGCATGAATTTAACCACTCAGCCATGGGGCTGGCCCCAAAAGTATAGTCTTTATTCAAGGTGGCAGTGCAGCAGCTAAAAATTATTTTGAGAAGAGGAAAATAAATACTGGAAAATAACTAGTAATCACCACACTTGACCCCTTTGGCCACTCAAATATCCTAAGCTTTTCTTCCCATACATAGAATGTATTCACCTCTTCTCTCCTCTGTTCATTTCCTGAATCCAGCTCAAAGTCCATTATCTCCGGGGAATGTGCAGCCCTCTCTATCAGGTCTGGTTGTGGCTCCTCCTGGTCTGGAATTCTATGAACTGCCATCCGCCTCATATATACACATTCAGTATACAAAGGAAACTCCCATCCTTAAAAAGGAAAGGATGAGGACTGGTTCCAACCAGTTATCAAATCCTCTTGGGAAGGAATGAGAAAGCTCCTTGATGTGGCGATTTAGTAAGTCCACCAGTTTATTCGGCCCTCAGCTCTGCCCTCTCTGTTTCCCTGGCATTGCCTTATAGATTGTTCCTTAGCTATTATCTTCTGTGGCTGCCTCTGACATGGGCTCTGGGGAGTAGGCCCCCCTTGGGGGCTGCACACCTTCCACAACCTACTCTATTTTGATTAGGTTAGGAACCTGAGAGTTCCTTTAGGGGGTCATCAATTACAGGTTTTTTTTCTGGGGGGAGTTGGGATTTCTTTGGCAGTTTTTTAAATAAAATTCACAGGTCTGCAGTCTTTTTGCTTCTGGTCATTCCATGAGCAAGATCTCATCTACAGTTAGTTTTTAAGGCTGAAAACTCTGGTCTTTTATTTACTGCTTCTGTGCTCTACCCATGGAGCTCCCTCAATTTAAGGGTGCTTACCTTGAGACCATTTGAAATAACATGCTGGACTGGGAAGGCAACACCCTTTATCTGATCCAAAGCTCAGCTGGCTCCTGTTGTCTGATAGACTGCTTACTAGAAGGTGCTTGAAGAAGGGTTTCATCTGTTCTCTTATCTCCTGCTAAGATGGCCTCTTCAGAACCACTTTTTCTAATTGCTTCTACTTTTCCAACCTTGCCACAGTCCACCTTCTGGGTACTGAGGCCACAGACAGAGGTTACCCGCTGTTAGCAGAGCTGAATTTCCCTCCATCTCTGCTTGTTGATTTGCTAGTTCCAACTTGACCTCATCTTTCTCCCAGGGTTTTCCAGAAAATGACGAGAAACAATGAACCCATGCTGTTGAGCTCTAGGCTCTGTGGGCATGTAGTCAGCCTTTCAGGATGTCACAGGTGACAGTTTTACTAAATGTTTTATCAGATAGCATAGCACTGCTGATCAGCTTTCTAGTCTGAAATATCTGGGTCCTTGGCATCCATTGCCCGACTGCTAAGCCGGTGTCGTATGCATTTTAGGTTCTACTATGGCAGCAACCCACCTTGGGTACCAAATTCTGTCTTAGAAAGGATGAGTGCAGGGGCTGTGCCTGACACCTGGAATAACAGTGACTTAAGTAAAGTGAGTAAGAGTCTGAGCTGGTATGACAGCTTTGCTCTGAAAGTCATAGGGTGTCAAGCCCCTTCTGTGTTGTCTCTTCCCCTCTTGTGGGTGTTGCTCTCAACTCTGGTCCAGGATGGCTCACCGCTGTATCCACATACTGACCAGCAAGAAGGAAGAAAGGGGGAAGGGAAGAGAACACCCTTTCCTTTAAGGGCAAACCCACCAGTTGTATACGTCACTTCTACTACCTTCTCATTGGTCAGAACTTAGTCACATGGCCACACTGGCTGCATGGAAGGCTGGAAAAAAATCATATACTCAACTGTCTATTACTATGAAAGAGAAAGGGGAATGGATATTGGGAGTTTTGGTGTCTTTGCTCCAGATGTATTATAAAAACCTTGGGTAAGCAATCCACCTTCAACTTTTCCACCTCATACTTCATATGAAATTTTGAGCACTGTATTTCTGAAAGCTATGTTTTCTTTATATTTTCACTAACTAGGATCCTGGTCTAGGCCTTCAGTCTGGTCTGCTGCGAAAAAATAGTTTAATTCAAGGGTTCTTATCCTGGGCCCATGGCTCCCTGTGAATAGCTTTCGGAAAGTCTGTATACTTTGCGCATCTCTGTGTGTGTCTGTTTCTAGGCAAAGGGCCCACAGCTTCCATTCAATTCTCAGAGATCCATGTCTTCAAAAAGGTGAAACTGCTGACCTCACTGGTGTTATCATTTACAGCCTCGTTCTCTTCCAGCATAGTCCAGTCTTTCTAAACCATTGGTTTCTTTGAGTCATTTTCCTACTCGGGTCTCAAAAGGCTCTACTTTGCCTCTCAGAATAAAATCCAAATTCTTTAGCTTGATATTATATGCTGTTCATATGATATCTTTCTAGACAATTCCAGGCTATCCAAATCTGAACACCCCCAACTCTCGGTGTGGGCCCTAGGACTCTATTGAACTTTTCTGACTGTGTGCAGTGTTGTGTAGTGATCATCTTCTCACTTGCCTTGTGAGATCCTGCCTGGTAAAGACCTTGTCTTATGTTCCTCTTATGTCTACACTTAGCTGAATATTTATTAAATGATTTATTCCTACTGAGAAATGGAAATAAGGTTCTGTATATACAATTTACTTGTGACATTTAGTGCATCTGAATTTAGCATGTACAACCATAACACCATGTATCAAGAAAGGAAGCACTTTGTGTATTGGGTAATACACTATATTACTATGTTTTAGAAAAAGGAATAACTTCTTTTTTGCTGATGAAGACGATTAAGACTTGCTGTGTTTTTCCTTAAATTCTCTGTAAGTGTGTGCTCATGGCCAGTTCCGTTAATTAGAACAGGATGCTGATGAGGCCAAGGATGTGGTTTGATCAGCTCTATTCTTTTTCATGACCCTGCCAGTTGTCCTAAAAGGTACCATCTTGGTTGAAGGGAATGACTGAGTTAGTGTGATGGCTCATGTACATAACTCTATGGTATTGGCAATGTAAATCAAAGGACAACCCTAGTCAAAATGGACACATGGCATCCTCCCATATCAAAGGTGACAGCGAAGTGGGAGGAGGTGTGGTCAGAGGTACGGTTCCTCCCTTCTCCTCTTTGTGCTTCATCAGCCTTCTTTCTGCATATGTTTGTCTTGGCTGAGAATCAATGCCTGCAGAGGATGACTACATCATTCGCTAAGACTTTCATTGTCTTAGGCTTTAGAGAGATACTGAATTTGCTTCTAGTAACCTTTGGGATGGCAGTAGTTTCACTAGTTAAAATTTGACCTATAATGAGCGTCCTTTGTAACTGACTATTACTTGCAGCTTGTACTTTAACCTGGGTAAACCTCAGTTTTCACGTCACTTGGATTTGTTCATCAACAATCCCAATTTAAAGTGGAGGTGGGTTTAGGAGTGGTGATTCATGGATATAAGTTTCACTATGGAGGATTTGGATTATAAAAAAAATAGCAGAATTTAGAGACCCTCAGGAGATGGAAGCCATAGGATTCCAAACAGTGTTTGGTGGTTACTGACCTTGGCAATGAGCCTTAGTAGTTGAAGTGAGGTTGTAGATACATTGCATGTTAGAAATAACAGGAACCTTTACTGGAGTCATGGGGAAAATGGTTGAAGAAAATCTGATTGCATTAGAGATTTTTAAAAATCTGGATGATTCTGGAGCACAAATGTAGACCAAAAAAAGCTAATGACATTAGTTCTTGTACTTTTTGTTGTTGTTTTTAATGTCTCAATAACTTCTAATTCTCTCATCCCTTTCACTATAGGCTGTGGACTTCCCTTTTGAATTGTTATTAGAGTGTAATGGATAAAACATTGTATTGAAGTCAAATATGCTTGAATTCAAATTCCAGCTGCTTCTTTACCTATGTCACCTTTTGTTAGCCACATGACCTCTTTGGGCCTCAGCTACTCTTCTGCGCATGGGGGGACCTATTTTAGAATTGTTGCAAGAATTAGCTAACATGATGTGTTTGAAAAATCCAGTACAATGCATGCAAAAGTTAGTACTCAGTAAGCAGTCACTATCACTTATTATCAACCTGTGACCCTTACTTATCTATCTTGGCAATGATTTAAGAAAGGATTTAAAAAAATGTAAAGGCAGAACAGGCTTTCTGTTTAAAGTCTGTTTTTTTTGCAAGAAAGAAGCAACAGGGAAAAAATTTATTTTGTAAAACTGTTGTGTTTGAGACGGGAAGGGAGGGTATGATAGAAAATGAACTCAGTTGCACGGCCTAGGTCTATCTGAATTTATTGAACAGAATATAGTATGCTGGTACAAAGTCATTTGGCTTTTAATATGGTTATCTATGGAGTTCCTAAGTTGAAGCTGGAGGCAGCCACCTCATTTTAATAGGGTTCTAAGGGATTCCAATTACGAAATTCCCTTTCTTGGAGTTTTCACTGTTTTTATAGATATCCAGTGCTCCCACTTGCCTTAAGCATATGCTGCCTTAAATGGAAATAGAACTATGGATATGGTCTAGAAATCTGGGGGGGAGACTATTTATGACCAGATCATAAAATAGAACTGTATTGACTTTTAGTTTAAGTACTAAGTTTAGTTTAAGTTGTCTGTCAGTGTACTTCATGCTGGTTAATTTGAACATTTTTCTCCCTAAAACAAAACAGTGTTCTGTGTCCCTACCATGTTTGCTTACAACAGAGAATAAAGTAGTTGATATAGAGATCCCTATCATAATAGTTTTTAATCTTGTATTAGCTAAGGTTCTTTTAGTCACAAGCAACAGAAACCCACTCCAGCTATCCTAAAGAGGGGATTTTATTTGAAAGATACAAGGATGTCTTCTAGAAGTGAAGGATGTGTCAAGCAACCGAAACTCGGGTAGGGAGTAAATCAGGGCTAACTCAGGGGATATTGGCAGGTGTGTGTGTGGACCCACAGAGCACTGCTGTTAATGTGACTCAGTTCCTGTGTCATCCATACATGTGTTGAGGGTCCCCAGTACCACCCTACGTTTGAGATTCGCCACAAGGACTCATGGCACTCAGCGTATAGTTGTACTCGTGGCTAAGGTTTATTACAGTGATGTAATAAGGTTATACAGCTGGGTCATAATGGAAAAAGGCACAGGAAGAGCTGGAGGATGTGTTGTGCAAGCTTCCTTATGCTGTTTCTCCCATGAGGGATGACAGAGAACGCACTCTTCTTCAAGCGACGAAAACACAGAAACGTGTGTGATGTTTCTGCCCCGGGAAGCCTATTAGAGACTCGGCACCCAAGGTTTCTCTTGGGAAATGGTCATGTAAGCACCCTTTGCACATGCCAAAATTCCAGACTCCCAGAAGGAGAGCAGGTGTTCAGCATAAACCACGCTGTTTGCACAGTTGAGGCATAGAGGGCCACTCTTATCAGTTGGGGACAGGTGAAGACATTCCTGAACTCCAAGTTCCCGGACACCAGCCAACCTAGCAAGCAGCTTCTCTAAGGATAATAGTCTCAGGTTTACTCTTTTCTCATAACATCCCTCTCAATTCCAAGTCTCAAATTCTGGAAAGATGGAATCTGACCCACCTTGACTCAGGTGTCTTTGGAATCCATGAATTTGTAGGGAGGCAGAGGAAGTGATATAGACATGGTCACTGGAACCCACCCCCTGGAATGGAATTTCTCAGGAGAGAGGGAGTCAACATGAGTGGGAAGGATCCATTGTGGGTCTTGTATTTCCACGTTTGAGGGCTCTGGAAAGCTTTCATCATGAGAATTCTGTGACTCTGTTACAACATGCTGAATCTCAGGACTGCATTCATGTAATAACAAATATTTCTTGCGTCTACTGTATGCCAGCCTCCTGAGCTGGGTGCATGCCTCCAATATTTCCCATTTTGTTTTGAAGAAGAGTATCTATGTGCTGTTGTTGTTTTCCTCTTCTCTCTGGCTTCTTAGGGATTTAAACGTCAAATTCAATCCCTCTGAACTTTTGTAGATATCATGAGTACTAAGTTTTTTGGGCAGTTTTATGCCTAACATAAAAGTATTCATTTTTCTCTTACAGTAATCCTTCAATTTATACAGTAATGGCAAGTTGTTAAATGAAGAATATGTGTGTTCTATTGCTGTGCCCTCATTCTTTTAAATCTTTTAATGTCATTATTTGCTACAAGGTGAAGCACTTTTATCCAATGTATTTGAAACTGGAATTTGGCCAGTTAATTTAAAAAGAAGTCATTAAAGCAGGGCGTTTCATATCGAAATGGGAGATGCTTTAAGTATTTTAACTTAAAGATATTTATTTTTGTTGTTGGATATGCAAATCTTTAAAATTAAGAGGACTTATGAAAGCAATCCGAATGCAAAATCTCTCTAGATTTTTATGATTTCTCCTCCAATATTTTACTTTTCCCCACAGCAATAGCCTCAGGAACAGATATAACTGATTCTTATAAGCATATAGTGAAGTGAGGGCAGACGTGCTGGGTGTACCCGTGAGGACTCACAGATCAAAGGCTCTGGGAGTGAAGGCGGCAGCAAGTCAGAGCGATGGATACAACTTAAAGAGCTCTTCTGTACATGCTCACTGTGGAAAACTTAGAAAATACGATAAGCCACAAAAAAATCAGGAATTTGGACATCACTAAGTTTTTGGTCTATTTCCTTTATATTTATGAAATATATATATGAACACGTACATACACATATGTATGAAGTATGCAGATACTAATATGCTATATATACTACATAATGAAATATATATTATATACTATACACACATTTTAACAAAAAGCAGGCTCATGCTATATATACTGTCTTATAGTCTCTTTTGATATGAATACAGTAAGATTTTTCCGTGAAGCATCCTCCTCCAACGTTATTTTGCAATGACTGTTGGGAAATGGACATTAGCTATTAACCCTCGAGCACCTCCCTCAGAGCACTGGGGGTTTATAAAGAGTTAGAGGACTAACAATAGGGAAATGTCAGCGAGGAATGAGGAGGCAACCACTCCGCCTCAATGTTTGAGAGGTGTGGGTGTGGGTCATAAGTAGCTTTGTCATCTAATGATGTCCTCTGGGGAAAGCGGATTCCAGTCAGGACAGGAGTGCAAGGGATGTTTAGGGAAAAGATTAAGAATGTAGGGAGATTTGTTAAACATGGAACAGAATGCCAGATGTCACAATGGAAAGACCTGAGGGCAGAGAGGGAAGGGATATGGGACTGGGTCTGGGAGAAGAAACCAGAGCATTGAAATGAGGGTGTGAGAGAAAATAGATCGCCAGGCTGGAGGTAAGATGTGCCCAGAAGTGGGAGAGGAAGAGTATTCTCTCTGGCTCTGCCAGAAGAATAGGTGCCACGTGTTCTTTGGGGTGATCAGTGTCCTTTTGTGCCAACTCCCATGTCAGTGTTCCAGAATATCAATAAAAGCCTGGCTGGCGAGCAGTCAGAAATTGAAGCAGTGGTCTCTGTGAGCTGACATGGGTTCACTAAAGAGAATGTTTTCAAAAGGGCAACCGGATCGCTATGAGAATGGTGATGAAAACCCTGTATATTTACTATTGACTTATCCCACTGAAGATGTAGTTTTGTAGATGATACTGGATGCTGTGGAAAGTGGAGGAGATCACACAGAGGGAAAATAGATTGAGAAGGTGGCCCTGGGCAGACCCACAGAGCACCAGTATTTTAGAGATGGACCCAGAGGAGGAGCCCCCTGAAAGGGACTGAGGTTGAGCAGCCAGTGAGTTTGGAGGAAAACCAGGGTCTTGCAATGCCAGAGAGCCCAGGGAAGAATGTGTCTTTAAGGAGTGGCCAACAGGGACAAGGCTGTAGACATGGTCCATCTGGATTTTAGCCACAAACATGAAGCTTTCCTACTTCATAAAACAGCAACCGAGAACATCAGTAAGGTTCAGAATAGAACCCTACAGCATATTACATCCCTAACCTCCAGCCTGAAATCAGTTCATTTACTGGGATTGTTTGAGAAGTTTGTTAGACATAGTTTGGATCCTCCCAGCTGCCGTATTAGTGCAAACACATCCCTTACGTATTCAGTACATCTCTGTTCTTTCCTCTAAGCCTGTGACAAGAGCTACACTTTGCAGTACTCCGAGTATGAGCCCAAGCACATTGGTAGCCCTGAAATCGTTTCGTGGTAATAAATGTTCATAAAATGGTCATTAGATGTTTCAAAATATGCTAACACTTTTCTTTGGGTTCTGAAAATAAAATTTTTTAAAAATGTTTAGAAAATGTGTGACCTCAACAGTAGATCTGCTCATCTTCAGGGATTTGTGCTCAGTTTGTGTAAGAATACCGTAATGAACTGAAAGTTAATTGAATGTGAGCATGAAGGACTTTTTTCAAATTTTAGGACTTTCATGTGGGAAAGGGAAGAAAAGCAGCTTTTGGCTGAATATAAAATCATCTAAGAATTGGATTCATTGAAAGATAACGCCTCTTCTTTAAGTGGAGACTGGGGAATCACTCATTTAGGGCTTTATAAAGGGGATTTTTTTTCTTTTTCATTATGTGAGTGACAAGATCATTTTAAGGTCTTTTCCTAGTCTAAGATTTCATAGATCTATGAAATAACTATGTACCTGGGGTCTTTAGGAAATAAGGAAGGAAATACAGCATTGATTTTGTAGTTGTAGCTATCTCTATTTTTTTATGTAAAATATATAAAAATATCTCAAATAATAATAAAGCGGACTATAATTATCCACAATCTTGGCATTTTAATAGTTCTTTTCAATTTTGGGTGTTCTCTTTTATATCTACCCAAGTGCATAGTTATTTTTACAAATGTGCACTCGTAGTTCTATTTCGTTTTTGGTTGTTTTCAGTGACTTTAGCTATCATGAGATCAGTTTAAGGAAATAAGTGTGTTTTCCTGGATCCTGGTAATTTTTAATCCTACAAACCACTGACAGATGTGGTGGGTAGGAGCAATGTGTTAAAAATGTCTAAGGCCACTGAGGCTTCTTTGAAAAGCTGACTTTGCAGTTTGTGGGCATTTCCTAAACTGTTTGTGTTGTTCTGTTTTTCCCCTGAATTAGTTGATCACGGCCTTGCCAGGCTGGTGACGGTATATTGTGAGCACGGTCATAAAGCTGCCCAAATCAACCCCCTCTTCACTGGACAAGCCCTGCAGGAGAATGTGCCTGAAATCCAAGCCGTTGTGCAGACGCTGCAGGGACCTTTTAACACCACAGGTAAAGCCCCTTAGCAACAGGCTGTCCATATGACACTTAACTGCCAACACGAGGTGGGCTCCTCTCTCTGTTCTTGAAGAACTCACAGCCCACTGGAGCTCAGGCTTCCATGTGGTGTGAGGAGATAACGAGGGGTACATTCAAGCGCTGGTAGGGAGAAGCAGTCTTGAGGTTCTAGAATGGTCTTCTGATAGGGCCCATTTCCTCTGCATCCAAAAACCTATGTACAAATGGCCAACAGGTACATGACAAGGTGCTCAACATCACCAATCATCAGGGAAATGCAAATCAAAACCACAAGGAGATATCACCTCACACCTGTTAGAATGGCTATTGTCAAAAAAGCAAAAGATACAAGTGTTGGTGAGGATGTGGAGAAAAGGGAACCTTCTGCCCTGTCAGTGGGAATATAAGCTGGTGCAGCCACTGTGGAAAACAGTATGGAGGTTCCTCAAAAAATTGAAAATAGAACTACCATTTGATCCAGTAATCCCACTTCTGGGGATTTATCCAAAGGAAAGGAAATCAGGATCTGGAAGAGACGTCTGCCCTCTCGTGTTCATTGCAGCATTGGTCAATCCGTTTTGAAGATCTGAAGTGAAGAAACCATAAGCCATATAAAGTGAATGATGGGTTGTTAAACTCATGGTGTAGGTTTAGGCAAATGACTGATAAGTGATTGGTGCTGAGTTAACGGCACATTACAAACCTTCCTTTTCTTTGACTGAGTTTCAGGGAGATTTCCTTTTACCTTAAAATGTTGCTTTGCTATCAATATTAACTCATGTGGAGACCAACTGTTCAATAATAGGCATTGCTTTATAGATATTAATGAAAGTTGAACATCTTGGTAGATAAATATTTCAGATAAAGGTAAAACATAAGATTTGTAACTATAAAACAGATGAATGGTAGCTTTCAAATTCTAGTTTGAAACTACAATAGAATCAAAATTTGTCATAAAGCAGTGTGGCTCTGTCCTTGTGAAGAAAGGGATTTCCCCCCTCTGAAGTTTTACTATTTCATGGCCATTGCCCGTATTTACAATTTTGCTTTTAGAAAAATCTAGATAACCATTGATGATGACCCAAGTTATTTGGAATGAAGTGCTCTGAATTGAAATAATTATTTTGGTATGTTCAATAATTAGTTATATGGTTGACTGTTCTTTAGAATGATCCCTTTGATTCCATCTCATAGGATTACTGAACATGGGGAAGGACGAGGCCTCTCTTAAGGAAATATTAGCCTATCTCAATCAAATCTACTGTGGGCAGATTTCTATTGAAACCTCCCAACTTCAGAGCCAGGAGGAGAAAGACTGGTTTGCCAAGCGGTTTGAGGAGCTGAAAAAGGAGACCTTTACCACAGAAGAGCGAAAACATCTGTCAAAACTAATGCTAGAGTCCCAGGTATAAAAGCGACAGCGGATGTTAGTGGACCAGTCGGCTCGTTTTCTACAAAGATACTTAAACATTGAAGAGAGAGAAGGAAGGCATTAGCTCTGAACAGACCCCCACTCATCCTCCATTGCCTCAACTCAACAGACAATGTAACACACACCACTTTATTCTAAGTAGAAAAAAGTGGATTGCCAAACAACGGGGCCGTTGTTTTCCTCAGAGTGAAAACTTTTTGCGTGTTTGTCTGTTGACTCTAAAAGATTGCAAAATCCTTAAGATCTTACTTCTCTTTTTATTACCTGAAATGATCAAAAAAAAAAAAAAAGTCTCTACATGGAAGAGGCTCTCACTCCACATCAATGGAGTTGAATCTCCGTCGGGGCTGTGATCAGGACTCAGGCATATCAAGATGACAGGAAACCTCTTCCCCATGATTCAGATAGTTGGCTGGTTTGCAGCCTTGATGCGATAGTACTGTAGAGCCCGGTACTAAAACGTAAGCACCCAGAGAGCTAAGGCCCGGCCTCTCTACTCTAGAACAACGCACATTCTAAGGGGATTCCTCTTGGGGTAGTTATTCTACCACTCAGATTATTTTCTCTGCATTCCCTACTGCTGTCCGGTGTCCTTGGTAAGGTTTTCCTGCCGTGCTCTGGATTACTTATGTCTGTCTCTGGGGAATGTAGTGAAGGGCCCCTGCTGCAGCCACCTGAAGAAGTGTGGGGTCTTCTTACAACACGCGTAGATGTGTCTGACTGTGACCTGACTAGCCGGCTATCTTCCCGTAACGAATATGTCTGACATGATGTTCCATAGGAGTTTGACCACTTTTTGGCCACCAAGTTTGCCACAGTGAAGCGATACGGAGGCGAAGGAGCTGAAAGCATGATGGGCTTTTTCCATGAGTTGCTGAAACGGTCAGCCTACGATGGGATAACCGATGTTATTATTGGGATGCCCCACAGAGGGAGGCTGAATTTATTGACAGGCCTTCTGCAGCTCCCTCCGGAGGTAAGAGACTTTCTGAGTTTCTCACCAGCAATGTACAACTGCCTATAACAGAATCAAACTGATGGTAGTAATTCCTTGTAGAAAACCAACTAAGCATATGAGCTGTTGGTCCAGGAGATTGCTTGGTTCATCGATGAAACCTAATGCTGCTGGATAGAACTGGTATTTAGGCGGGCTTTCTATATGTCCTTTTATGGATTCTTTCTTCTCTCAGGGAAGTTAAAAGTTAGTTTGTTTTCTCAAGGATGATGCAAACAGATAAATTTGATTTTTTGAAGCATGCTTTTCTTATTTAATAAAAATTGTTCAAACGAACACAAAGATCTGTGCAATTTTTACAGTTTTACCTTCCAAAAAGTCAATTATACTTTCCTCTTATTTGCAGAGTTTGTAGTTAATAGAGTGCGTAAAATGAATAATACATTGTTATCTCCAGAGAACACCCAAGTGAGTGGGTTGATAGGGAATTGGATGTTGGTGCTCCTGTTCAGCCCAGCTCAGTTTCTCTGTAAGTCTCTCAGACGACTCGAGAGTCAGGACTGAAGATGTGATGTCAACGAACATCAGAGAGAGTCGATATTTAATAAGATCCACAATGCATGGATAAAACTCACTATTCTTCTTGGCCAGGAGATTAAGAATATGTATAGGGGCCAGTCCAGTGGCATGGTGGTTAAGTTTGCACATTCTGCTTTGGGGGCTTGGGGTTTGCAGGTTTGTATCCTGGGGGTGGACCTATGCACTGCTCATCAAGCCATGCTGTGGAGGGGTCCCCCATATAAAATAGAGGAAGATTGCCACAGATGTTAGCTCAGGGGTAATCTTCCTCAAGCAAAAAAAAATGAGGAAGATTGGCAGTGGATGTTAGCTTAGGGCAAATCTTCCTCACACACAAAAAAGTTGTTTGTGTTATTAATAAATGCAATAAAATTAAAAAAAATAATTATAAGTGCAAAAGGGCCTGTCAAAGTTAGGCAGAGTGAACAGAGTCCACGGAAGGACGTGTTATCCTTAATAATATTAGAAAATACACCTCATGTCATGTCTGGGGGCCAAGCTTTACCACTATTACTTAGACCTCAGTGTTTCTGATGCTAAGAGATTGTTAATCAGCTTTTAAAAGACAAATACCTTAGGAAAGGTAAGATATGACAGAATAAAGTGATTGACAGATGGAGGCGTGTGCTTACATACACACAGAAATTCTTAAACCGAAAATTGCGTTTCTAAAATATCCCAGACAAAAAAATTACTGAAAGATGCAGAAATGATGATAAATGATCCTATTCATGAGCAACTCATCTGGACCTACACTGTGTGAGTGTGTATGTTCCTGTCTGTGGGAGGGCAATAAGAAGCTTTTCCAAAGTAGGGAAGCTTTTCGGTCTTTCAGACAATTTGACTAATTGAGAATAACATGCTGTTTTTGGTAAATACTTTGGTTTGAGACCCAGCTTTTTACGGAATAGCCACGATCTTTAACAATTTAGTTAATTTTTCTTCCTTGTTCCTTTGTAAAATGGCTAGTAACATATATCTTGTAGATGACTTTGAACATGGAGTGAGAGAACGTGCAGAGAAGTCCTTTGAGAATTGGACAGTATGGTTTTTTAAATGTGACTTGAGCTAAGCGGTATACGTCATCCCTTGATGAAATGGGATTAAGTTCTATTTTATTTTTCTCTCTGCCTTTAATGAGATTAATACAAAGTTCTTTTGGAAAATATTTTATAACAGATGTATTTAAGGAACATTATTTTGCTTATTGCAAGGCAGAGAACTTACCATTTTCACCATGTTAGACTCTCCTTAAAGTGTTGGTACTTCATTTGATGGTGAAGATGTCTAGTTCTGTGCATTGGAGCAGTTAGAAGTGTGTAGCTATTTTTAAAGAATGCCTGGTTATAATAGCTATCAAAGCATGTGCATGAAGGTTTTTTTATTGTATGATTTGAACTAACAACCTCTTCTCTTGTCTCCATGGTGATAAAAGGCATTTTTTTGGGTTCATTCTTAATAGCTGATGTTCCGTAAAATGCGAGGCTTGAGTGAATTTCCAGAAAATATCTCAGCCACTGGAGATGTCCTGTCTCACCTGACCTCCTCGGTTGACCTGGACTTTGGAGCACACCGTCCCCTCCACGTGACAATGCTGCCTAACCCCTCGCACCTGGAAGCCGTTAACCCCGTGGCTGTCGGGAAAACCCGTGGAAGACAGCAGTCTAGACAAGATGGGGACTACTCTCCAGACAGTTCGGCCCAGCCTGGGGACAAAGTCATTTGCTTACAGGTACTTGTAGCTTCAAGAAGCAGGGCCAGAGGTTGGGAAGATCAGGAAGAAAGAATGTCTGGTTTGGTAGTTCTGAAAGGAGATGGCAGACATTCAAGAGGAAATTGAGATCAACTTTTGGGAAAATAAGATTCTGGGATTGTTTTCAAAATTCTTAGCAGATCTGAAGTCTAGGCTCAAGGCAACTGACTTTAGACGGAGGTTTTCGCCGTGTTTTTCCTTTCTTGAGGTATGGATTAATTAACGGGGTAGGGACTGGCGTAGCTGACGCGTCTGTGAGGACAATTGTCATGACTTCTCTGCAAGTGCAGCCTTCTAGGAAACTACGTGGTCTTCATATATCTAACAAGACTACAAGAATCTGGATTTATTTTGTCTGCTTGTTTGTTTTACAGTGAAGGTCTTTGGCATTAAGGCAACCAATACAAATCATTAGTGTGGTTCTTGCTTCCTCTTCCTCCCAGGTTTTGGTAACCTAACAGGTATCTTTTAGAGTTTGGATTGTGGGTCACCTTTGTTTTCTGTGAGTATTCCTTTAAATATGAACCTTTAGGGGCCGGGCCCGGTGGCGAGGCGGTTAAGTGCGCATGTTCCGCTTTGGCGGCCCAGGGTTTGCTGGTTCAGATCCCGGGTGCTGCTTGTCAAGCCATGCTGTGGCAGGCGTCCCACATATAAAGTAGAGGAAGATGGGCACAGATGTTAGTGCAGGGCCAGTCTTCCTCAGCAAAAAAGAGGAGGATTGACAGCAGTTAGCTCAGGGCTAATCTTCCACCAAAAAAAAAAAAAAAAAGAACCTTTAGCTACCGGGAGATAATTAATCCTGGATAACAGTAACTGAGTCTTCAAACACAACAGAAATAGATAGATCTGTAAGGCAGTAGAATATTGTGCTACATATGCAAATAACGACATTATCTTACTCACGTTCATTTTCCCTGGGCCAGAAACTTGTAGGAAATAAATTGAGAGTAGGCAGAATTGGATTTGATTATAATATGGTATTTCTAAATAGGAATCTCCAAATCATTAACCAGATATTCTCTTTGCCTTTCACTTAATTCATCATGTTCTATAATAATTCAGTCATTCACATTTACCCAGTACATCAAGCAGATCTTAAGATGGACTTCTGAAGTAAGAGGTGAAAATGGCATTTACTTTAAAGTGATGAGAAACTGACTACCCTTTTTTGTCTACTTTGTGTTCCTAAAATATTTTGCCCTGCTGTGTCTGCACGTCTTGCCTTGCTCAAGTACACAATTGGAGTTTCTTGTGAGAACTCTAAATTTGGAGCCTATAAAATCATAGCGGATGACATTCTGGTTGCTAGTTTTTCTGTCTGTCTTCTGCTTATCTTACTCCTGGACCTGGTGGAAGTGGATTCTCGTTTGGGATCTTCTGTGTGCGTCCAACCCCCACGGCCGTGTTTGGTTGGGTGGCTTCCACCTCACGCAGCATTTGTCTGTGCTCATGGACCCTTACTCCCACAAAGCTTTATAGAGCAGAGTGGAGTGGTTTCTCTTTGATTTAAGAAGAAAAATAAAATTAGCGAGTGACACACATGTGATTTAGTGCCAAGAATCCTAAGACCATGATAAAATGGGCAAATTGTGAACAGATGCAGTGTCTGATCAGTGCCTCCACTGTAACACTTTTGTAAAGGAGCAGAAGAAACACACATCTCTCTTCCTTGCTTCACTGATCTCCTTTTACGTCCTGACCCCACAAGCAATCCCAGCAGCACTGAGGCCAAAGGACGAGGAGTGTTCAGATGCCAGGAACCCCTTGACCCTGTGTGGGCCACCGTTTGGCTGAGGGTTGGACTTTACAATGTAATGTGGTGTAGAAAAGACAAGGACTCTAGAACCAAGAAGATCTGAGTTCAAATCCTGGCTTTGCTCCTTTCTAGCTTGGCGTGCTTGGTTCTGTTACTTAGGTTCTCCGAATGTCACAGGCAAAATGGGCGTATATTACATTCCTCATAGTGTTCCGAGGATTAAATGAGAACATATCCATAATGTTTCTTGATCCAGGAGAAAGGCTTAGAGTGGTGAGGAAATAAGTAGAAAAAGCAGATGTGTCACAGAAGGTCTACCCTCTAGTCCAAGCTGTGTAAAATATATACTCTTTCTGAATCTTGGTTTTCTTATCTGTAAAAAGGACAGTGGTGACTTCCTTACCTGGCCCCCCACCTAGTTGTTGGGTGGATAATGGAGATAATGCATACTGCTGTGGAGATAATGCAAGGGTATGTTGTTACTAGATATAGATACTCCAACATGTCGGTCATCCCCGCAGACCCTAGCAATGGAAGGTGTGGACTGGAAATTTTACTGATTCAAGAGAGTGCTTGCTTTCTTAGCCAAAATGTTCTACTTATATAAAAGTGACTTTTTAAAAGGACATTTTCAATGTGCTTTAGAAAAATCTACTTCCAAGGATTCTTTTTTCATTCATATCAGGTCTTTTACTTCCGTTATCATCAGAGCCACCATGGTTACCTTAAGTTAGGGCAGTTCAGGTGATCTCACTCTTTAGTTCAGCATTTTGGCTGTTTATGATAATAGTCTTTCAGCGTGAAGTCTGCTGAGCTTCTATTTTCTTCTAAGATCTACAATTCCCTCATTATTTGCTTTCAACTTTTCTAAAAAAATTTCCGCCTTTCTCTAGCATCTTCCATCTACCAGCTTCTGTGATGAAGTTATGAAATGCTCTGGAAGAACAGCACGTTTCAGACATTCTCTCCTACTAGTATTTTGTTTTCCCTCAAAGCGTCCTTTCTCTTATGTGTGATATACCTTCCCCCCATGCCTCCTGTCTTTGCTGTCACATCACTTCCTTCATGTTCGCAATGGTGGCCGTTACACCCAGTGGGGATTAGGTGGTGGAGCTGCGCGAAGTCTCTTTTCGGGGGCAAGACGACTGGAGAAGCCGGGGAGTTCAAAGCTGTGCACTCTTCCTTGCGTCTTGCAGGCTGTTCTCATGAAAACTTTGCTAGAGCTGATTTTCCTTCTGCCCCTCCTGTGGCCTTCCTTCTGTAGTGGCGCTCTCTGCAGTAGAATGTTGATGGGTATACGAGAAGTAATGGGTATAGCTGATGGTACAAGATGGAAGGAGTAGGTCAACTGGTGGTGTCTGCAAGAAGAAAAGGACTGTTTTAGTATCTTTGAAAGCTGCTTGGATCAGCCTAACCCTTCTAGAAAATCCTATAACAAGCAGATTTGGGGCAGGGAAGGGGAGCAGTGAGAGGGTGGTTGTTTTTATTCCTGTTATTATTTGAAAGCGATTCGTTCCAATTTGAAATCCTAAATTTCTCTGTCCCTTACGTTCATTTTCTTTCCTTCTCCTCCATGATTTAGGTTCACGGTGATGCTTCTTTCTGTGGTCAAGGGATTGTTCCTGAAACATTTACGCTCTCTAATCTCCCACATTTCAGAATTGGTGGGAGTGTCCATTTGATCGTCAATAACCAGCTGGGTTACACCACTCCGGCAGAAAGAGGGAGGTCTTCCTTATACTGTAGTGATATCGGTATGTAACACGGGGAGAAGCTGATGGTCAGACCAGCAGTTCCCACAGAATCTTCTAGTTCACTCAGAACAGTGAGCCTCACTGGCTACCCCATTTTTAATTTTGGATCAGATATGGTCAGTAGTCACCAACAGTGTTAAGTTAATATTCCTTCTAATGTCTGAGCGTGATCTTAAAATCCAAGGAAATAAGACAGAAGTGGAACTTAGAGGATGAAGTCTCAAATTGCTCAAGTATCCGGTTGAATGATCTGGCGGAAACCAGAGATCAGCACCACTAGTACAACACCGCAGTAACTGTCTTTAGGAGTCAGACTGGGAGTACCCAAGACCTTAGTCGAAAAGGATGTTTTTAACCAGTACATCTGACTAAGTGGTCTGATGTGAAATCAGGTGTGAAAAAGCTAAGCTGACTTGTTTTCACCTGGAAACTGGCAGCATTAAGAGAAAGGCAGGGCTTTTATTACCCGTTCTCTAATGCACAGAGTTACAAGAACTGTTAGATGGTAGGAACTGTTCTGTTTTTACACCCAGATCCTGGCCTGGATGCCTTTTGTCTCTGTGAATTTTTTTGTGACCAGTTTGATACAGATGTTGAAAATACATTCTATGAATTTTCTTTGGAGAAAACCCATTTTTTCCTAGGATAAATCCTTTAATAAACCTTTTATCTCAGAAGGAAAGATAATAGTAGTAATGACAATAACAAAATAAATATTAGTTATTGTGAACCGGGCACTGTTAAGCACTTCATATGCAGTAACTCATTTAACCTTTGGGATACCACTAGAGGTGGGAGCCATTATCCTACTTTTATAGACAAGGAGACTGGGATCCATCACCTTGCCAGGGTCCCACAATAAGTCACAGAGCTGGGATGTGAACTCATTCTTGTCGGCTGGACTCCAAAGCGTGGGTTCTTAACAACCAAGCCAAACTACCTCCGAGGATGTGCCTCCCTACGCAGGCAACAGGACTTGGAGGTGGGCTAATGTCATTTGGGGCTAACCGGCCTGCTTCACCTCCATCTTCTCTGCTTCAGGGAAGCTTGTGGGCTGCGCCATCGTCCACGTCAATGGAGATAGCCCAGAGGAAGTGGTTCGTGCCACCCGGCTGGCATTTGAGTACCAGCGCCGGTTCCGGAAGGATGTGATTGTTGATTTGTTATGCTACAGGCAGTGGGGCCACAATGAGCTAGATGAGCCCTTCTTTACCAACCCAGTCATGTACAAAATCATCAGGTACAACTACAAACCTTCGTTTAATATGCCCTCTTACCCACAGTGCTCGGGCTATTTTTATTTTTATTATTCTTTTTTTGAGGTATGCTATTTTTGGGAGAAAGCTTGGTCCTCAGCTAACATCCATTGCCAATCTTCCTCCTTTTTTCTTCCCCCAAAGTGCCAGTACATAGTTGTATATCCTAATTGTAAGTCCTTCTAGTTCTTCTATGTGGGATGCCACCACAGCGTGGCCTGATGTGATGAGTGGTGTGTAGGTGTGCGCCCAGGATCCCAATCACTGAACCCCAGCCTCCGAAGCAGAGCATGTGAACTTAACCACTACACCACTAGGCTGGCCTCACACTATTACTTTTATTAGACACTCTCAGGTTGGACAGACCACCTTTCCTGGTTTCCATGGGACGTGAAACTCTCAATGCTAAAACTGGGACAGTCCTGGGCAAACTGGAATGGTCACCCTCGGGGTCTCAAGAAAGCTCCCCACCTTCTTCAAACTCTACATGTTTCCTTGATGAGTAGACAAAGGGCAACTTAACAACCTCGCTTAGCAGATGGGAAGACTGAAGGAGGAAGACGTAGGCAGCACCTTGCCCGAGCTACTTAGCATGGCTTTGACAGAGTTGGAAACAGCCTTCGTGAGTCACTTCTGCAAACTACAGTTGTGGACCTGCTTTGTGCCTTGGCAAGAGGTGACATGATGGATTTTAAGGAATGTTTAGAACTGTGCTATCCAATACAGAAGCCACTAACCATAAGTGGCTGTTGAGCACTTAAAATGTGGCTAGTCCTGATGGAGATGTGCTGCAAGCATAATATACACACCAGATTTCAGAGACTTAGTGTGAAAAAAAGAACGGAAACTACTTCAATAATAATTTTTATATTAAGTATTGGAGTGATAATATTTTGTGTCTACTGAGTTAAATAAATATATTATTAAAATTAATTCCTCCTGTTTCTTTTTACCTTTTCTAATGTGACCACTAGGAAATTCTCAATTACACATTGGCTTGCATTGTATTTCTATTGCACAGCGCTGAGTCAGAAGTTAATGTGTCGGAGAGGAACGTGTTTCTTTGGAATTTCCTTCTGAGATACTAGAAAGTAAAATAGATCCTCCCCCCCCCCACTTTATTCCCTCATAAATATAAATTAAAGAAGAGGAATAAATTTGGGGACATTGATGGGTCTTTCTGGTCATAGGTAGCAGACGCCTCTTGAAAGAACAAATCTGGGCTCTCTGAATTTAGCTGCTGAATGACTTGATGTGGCTCAGGCCCCATTAAAAAAAGTCTATCCTGCCTAGGTCTCACTTTTGTCAGGATTAAACATAATAATACATGTGAACAGACTTTATAGTTTAAAGTATTATGTGAATGTAGAGTGGCGTTGTTATTATTGTCAAACCCAGGTACTGATTAGTGTAGTTACAGGATTATTAAAGCTACCTGAAAAGATGTTGGCCACTTTGGGTTCAATGCTTTTTGAAATAAAGGGGTACTGAGTGAGTAGATAATGTAGATCAGTCCTGTAAATAACTGTCCAGAATTTACCAACTCATAGAAAAACCCTACTACTCATTATTTCTACCTGGATGTAGACACAAGCCTATAAAGATAATTTTATTTTTTCTTGCTTGCCTGGAAGAGGTTGTTACTCACCACTGCCTTTTAAAAAAAATAATGCATTAGGGGTTGGCTTGGTGGCTTAGTGTTGAGTTTGCATGCTCCGCTTTGGCGGCCCGGGGTTCGCAGGTTTGTATCCTGGGTGCGGACCTAGCACTGCTCATCAAGCCACGCTGTGGCGGCATCCCACATAAAATAGAGGAAGATTGGCACGAATGTTAGCTGAGGGCCAATCTTCCTCACTGAAAAAAAAAATGCACTAGAGTGAAAGTCACATGATATAAAATGGACCCTTTTAAAGTGAGCAATTCAGTGGCCTTTTGTGCGTCCACAATGTTGTGCAACCACCTCCGCTATCTAGTTCTAAAATATTTCCCGCATGCCTTTTTATAGCGATGGCACTTTACAGTGTCTTTGACAATGACTATAGTCTCTCTTCGATTTTTACAAGGTTGATTTTTTTCCCCCTCTTTCTTACGCAGAGCCCGGAAGAGCATCCCAGATACGTATGCAGAGCACCTCATTGCCAGTGGACTCATGACCCAGGAGGAGGTGTCAGAAATCAAAGCCTCCTACTATGCAAAGTTGAATGACCATTTAACCAACACGGCGCACTACAGCCCCCCAGCCACCAACCTGCAGGCCCACTGGCAGGGCCTGGTTCAGCCGGAAGCTTGCATTACCACCTGGAACACAGGTGTGCCACTGGACCTTCTGCGGTTTATTGGCGGGAAGTCTGTGGAGGTGCCGGAGGAGCTCCAGATGCACAGTCACCTTCTGAAGGTGTATGCTCAGGTAGGGAGCAATGAACTCTCCAGTCAGTTTGTTCTTGTGCAGCAAAGGGACTGGTGTTGGTCTGGTCTTTTTTGGTTGACTAATTCCTTTGACAAATATTTATTGTGTGTCATCAGGTTCTAGGAACTGATCCTAGCGGTGTTTTGGTACTGATAGTCAATTAATTCAGATTTTTTCTATGTCTGGTTTTCCTCCACTTATTAACTTATTCATTCATTCATTCATACCTGTTAATATGTTACATGTACATGTACTACACACACATTATTAAAAATACAGCAATACAGGGGCCGGCCTGTGGTATAGCAGTTAAGTTTGCATGCTCTGCCTTGGTGGTCCAGGGTTTGCCGGTTCGGATCCTGGGTGCGGACCTATACACCACTTATCAAGCCATGCTGTAGTGGCATCCCACATATAAAGCAGAGGAAGATGAGCACAGATGTTAATTTAGGGCAAAAAGAGAAGTATTGGTAGCAGATGTTAGCTCAGCTCAGGGCTAATCTTCCTAAAAAATTAATCAAAAAAAATACAGCAATACGGGAATGCCTGTTTTGATTTTTCTGACCAGTGAGCAGAAAACATTTCCATTCTTTTGAGCGGCTGAAATTGAATAAACAAAAATCAACCCCTGAAGACAACCATTTGGACCCTTAAACATGTTGAGGTTTTACACGTTGTCTCATGTTGGATATTGATTGACAAACCCTCCCGGTTTACCTGGCATTCGAGGGGTTTTCTGGAACATGTGACTCTCTGTGCTAAAGCCAGAGAGCAAGGAGTTAAAGACCTTCATCTTTCCTGAACTTGGATGAAGACGCTCTGCCCTCTGAATTATTGTTAAAGCACTAAGTTCCTTTTTAAGTTCTTATAGGGTTAGCGACGAGCAAACTCTGTACTCGGCATCCAGCTGAAGGCGTAGAATATTACACACACGGTTCCCTGTGTAGCCCTTCCTGGTCCAGCTCCTCTCATTCACTGCGGGGTTAACCCCTGACCTGAGGGCGGGTGTTTTTTCCTGTTTTAAGCAGCATATAATGGCAGTCGTACTCTCATATATCCTTCTGCACTTTCTGTTTAATTTCACATTATGTTTTTGATACTTACCATTGTTGCCTTACATTTTTTTGAACCCAGTGTGACAAAACTATATGGACTCTTAGAAGGTTCTTTTTTCGTCCCCTTCAATTTTACAGTCCAGAATGGAGAAGGTGATGGATGGAACCAAGTTAGACTGGGCCACGGCAGAAGCTCTGGCCTTGGGCTCGTTACTTGCTCAAGGTAAGAAGTCTCTGTTTAGCTGCACAGTTGGGAGGGGATGCTTCATATGACATTTGTTATATGTGACCCCTGCGGTTCTGAATTACTGCTACCTCCTATTGTTTTCATTGACTAGAGAGGTTCTAAAATGTGTTAACTTTTCGTATCTGACAATATGATTTAATCTTAATATAAGTCCTTTGACAACCTTCATCAGAGAATAGACGATAGAGCAATTATTCCTGAGAAACAAATGGCTCAGAGCTGGATATATTGATATTTTCCCCTAGAAATTCTAGGGCAAATGATGACTCTCCGTTCTTATACAATCTCACCTTGACTACAGACTTTTGAATATAGGACAGGCATATTTTAGTAAGGATTGTCTATTATCTTAAGGAAAATTCTCAGGATGAGCTGGTGTATAAGAATTCAAGGTCACCATGCCTTCTTATTTCTAGGTTATTCATGGGAATCTGGATTTTTTTTTCCCTTCTTGCTTGCCTAAGGTTTTAATGTCCGTCTGAGTGGCCAAGATGTTGGCCGTGGAACTTTTAGTCAGAGGCATGCAATGGTTGTTTGCCAGAAGACAGATGACACCTATATTCCTCTGAACCATATGGACCCTAATCAGAAGGGGTTTCTAGAGGTACGATGTTTTAATGTCTGTTATAAAACCCAGGAACTGATGATCATAGTTACAGGATTCTTAAAGCAACTAGAAACAGATGTCAGCAACTTTGGGTTCAATACTTACTGAAATAAAGGGGTGCTGAGTGGGTGGAGAATGTAGGTCTATACACTTGAAATGGAAGTAACATACTAGTGAGTAGACCAGAGCTATTTTACTCCGGCTACTTATCTGTAATCTTGCAAATGTCAAGTGTATGTTCATTTTATCAGTTCAAAATTGACAGTATAACATGCGTGTTGCTGAATTCATTAAAGTAAGCCAAAGATGTAGATAATAAGCCAACATATCTTGCCTACTTAAAAAAAAAAAAAGAAACCCACTTCCTCAGGGTTACCTTATTCTCTAACATTTGTGGGCTTGATGAATATATCTATTACCATGTATTTCTGTGTGCCAGTCACTGAGCTGTACTCGTTAGAGTCAAGGGCAGCGGCTGTGTCTTTTCATTTCTTTCTCTCCAACAACTAGCATAGTGCCTGGCGCATGCTGTTTATTACCATAAATTATCCTTTAAGGTACAGTCAGTGGCACATTGTCCTTTTTCTTACTCTAGCCCTGTGTTGGAGGGTGTAATCTTGAGTTCACTGATACTCAATATTTATTAAGAAATTCACTTGTCAAAGCGAAATTCCAGGGGGATTTCTTAAAGGACGTACAGCTTATATTTTCTTTAAATTAGTCTAAAATCCACCCCTGGATGAAGTCAGACTGGTGATCTAGATACTGAAATGTTTAGTATTCCCCCACCCCAATATCTTTTATTGTATCGTGATTTGATCTATAGTATCAATTAACTTTTTTTTTTTTTAAAGATTTTATTTTTTCCTTTTTCTCCCCAAAGCCCCCCGGTACATAGTTGTGTATTCTTCGTTGTGAGTTCTTTTATTTGTGGCATGTGGGACGCTGCCTCAGCGTGGTCTGATGAGCAGTGCCATGTCCGCGCCCAGGATTCGAACTAACGAAACACTGGGCCGCCTGCAGCGGAGCGCGCGAACCCAACCACTCGGCCACGGGGCCAGCCCCTCAATTAACTTTTAATATTGCTATTTAAAAAGCCTCAGTTAAACGCCTTGCATCCGCTCCGAGGAACCTGTCAGAGATTTCATTGATTATCATAAACCGTGTCCTTTATATGAAGGCCCCTGGAGAAACTCCTGCTTGAGCTTGGTTTGTCTTTATTGTGTGTACACCGTGAATTCTGCAACTGACCAGCATTCCCTTATACATAACGGCTGCTATAAAATCAGAAAATAAAACAATGAATATATGCACTTTTCAAAAAATAATAGTGATGGCTTCTAGGAATGGGTGGAGGCCATGGCAGCCTCAGTGACAAATGACTAGGTCACCAGATTGCTTTTCCCCAACTCCCTTCTGTGTCTCAATCTTTATTTATCTTCTTTCTCCCCACTTGCATTTAAATTATCATGTTGTATATCATGGATATTTACAAGCCATATTAAATACTTTTTGGAATAAATGAAAGCATTAATAGATTCAAGAAAATAAGGTAGTTAAGTGTATAAAGTATAGTAGATGCATAGGAGAAGGAGCAGCTAATCTACTTGAGGGAAGTCCAGAAAAGCTTGGGAGAGGAAGCCAGATTTGAGCCGGGACTTGAAGGACCTTAGGAATTGCCTAGTCTAATGTAGGGAGAACATTCTAGGTGGACATGATAGAACATATAAAAGCTGTGAAGTAAGAGGACCTGACGTATTGCTCAGGGAACTACAAAGAGCTTCATAGGACTGGAGTTTAAGCTGCCAAGTGGATACAGGAGTTAAAAAAAAAAGGGACACTGGCCAGATAGGACTACCCACATTGTGAAAGACTTTGAATGTGTTGTAAAAGAGAAGCCAGGGAGGAATTTGGAATAGGTAATCAGATTTTCGTATTAGAAAGAGCACTCCTGATAATACTTTGGAAGCCCGAGTTGAAGGAGGAGGAAACTTAGGACAGTTTCTAAGGAGGCTGCTCAGTGATCTGGGCAGGAAATCACAGGGATGTGAATTAGGGCAATGGCAGTACAGACGGGAGATGGGGCCTTGAGAACCATTCAGAAAACAGAAGCTTTAGGACTTAGTGGTAGATAGAGGGAGTGAAGAAGAGAGACTAGCCTCAATTATCTCCTAGCTTCCTAACTTGGACAGCTGGTATATAAGGTGGCATTCACCCAAATAGAGAGTAAAGAGAGGGGACAGGCTTAGTAAGGAAAGGTGATGGATTCAGTTTTGGACTTTTGACTTTGAAGTGGCTCAAGGACGTAGAGATTTCTATCAGGGAATTAGACATGTATCTCTGGAGTTAATGAAGAAACATGGTCTTAAGATATAGATTTGGAAGTAATCAGGGTGTAGGAGTGTTTGAAACCACAGCGGTGGAAGAATCTCCCTGAGAGAGCAGAATGAGAAGAGGACCAAGGGATAGGGTCCTGGGAAAAACAACATTTAAGGGGCTGGCAGAGGATAAGGATATCCCAAAAGAGCATCCAGAAAGGCAGGAAGACTGAGTCATTGTGTCATCGAAGGCAAGGAGGGAGGAGTCAGATAAGAGAAAGAATAACATAGTCATTGGATTTGGTACCTAGAAGGTCAAAGGGTGACCTCATGTAGAGCTATGTCAGTGGAGTGAGGTGACGTAATTGATGCTCTGTGCAAGTGTAGTCAGACTTCACGCATCTTCACAGGACGCATGTTCACAAAATGGCAGCATTAGCATGATCTGAGGGTGGAGTTTTTAGCTTCTTGACATCAAAACATCACTTATTGGGCATCTGCGCGGGCCCAGTTAGTGAGTTGGTGGTCTCAACTGGCCTGAACTGGACAAGGGGGGGGTCCTAATTCCTGAAAAACAGCTCGAACACCCATTACCATGGTGACCCAGGCTCCAGGGAGATCTTATCTGTAGGAGCCTAGTGGGAGTCAGACAGCATATTGCCTCAGCAGCACAGTTAACAATGGGCGGGTAAACAGTTAAAAGCTGTATTCAGTAGTTACAAAAAAGAAAAACAACTTTAGTTACTAGCTACCTGATCATCAGTGGCTACCTGTTTACTGGTTTCACAAACATCACCACTGTCTAATTTCAGAACATTTTCGTCACCCCAAAAAGACACCCCATACCCCTTAGCAGTCACTTCCCATTCCTTCCTCCCCGCCAGCTGCTGGCAACCACTAATCTACTTTCTGTTTCTATTGATTTGCCTATTTTGGCCTTTTCATGTAAATAGAATCATACAATATGTAGCCTTTTGTGACTGGCTTCTTGCACTTAGCATCATGTTTTCAAGGTCCATCCATGTTGTAGCATGGGTCACTATTTCATTCTTTTTTTATTGCCAAATAATGTTCTATAAATATGTAACTTTAAAAGATATTTTTTAGACAAATTTTGAAATAAACATAAAATTACAAAAAAGTTGGATGTATAATACAAAGGCCCTTTTTCTTACTCTGAAACCTATGCCAACCTGATGCCCTAGATGTGTATTTCCTACATCACCACAGTATAAGCATCTAGGCCAGGAAATTAACACAGAGACATGACTGCCATCTTGGCTTCAAACCCAGTTCAGAAACATGTTGCCTTTACTTGTCACATCTCTTTAGCCTCTTCAGAGATGTAATTTTGTGTCCTGCTTTTTTAATCTTAACATGTGGTGATGATTCTTTTGCTTTATCATGCAAATAGGATCTTAGAAGAATGGATTCTAACCAAAGATAGGCGTTGTTTTGGGTAAACTTCCCTCCTTTGTTTTGTGATATTTCTTAAACAGCTTGTATGACACTGTTTGACTCTCAGCTCCATAGGTGGGTCATTTGAGAAGTTAATTTTGCTTCTCCTTGAAGAAAATTTTTTTTTTAATCTTAAATTTCAACTGCTCATTGCTGGTGTGTAGGAAAGCAATTGACTTTCGTCTATTAACCTTGTATTCTGCAACCTTGCTGTGGTCTCTTATGGATCACTTTTCTTTTTCCTCCCCAAAGCCCTAGTATGTAGTTGTACACCCTCGTTGTAAGTCCTTCTAGTTCTTCAATGTGGGGTGCTGTCACAGCATGGCTTGATGAGCCGTGTGTAGGTCCATGCCCAGGATCCCAACTGGAGAACCCTGGGCCACTGGAGCAGAGCGTGCGGACTTAACCACTATGCAATCAGGCCGGCCCCTGAAGAAAACCTTTTTCTTTTTCATTCTTTTTTAATTTTTTTTTTTTAAGATTGCCACCTGAGCTAACAACTGTTGCTAATCTTTTTTTTTTTTTTTCTTCTTCTTCTCCCAAAAGCCCCCCAGTACATAGTTGTATACTCCAGTTGTGAGTGCCTCTGGCTGTGCCATGTGGGATGCCACCCCAGCATGGCCCAATGAGCAGTGCCATGTCCGCGCCCAGGATCCTAACTGGTGAAACTCTGGGCCACCAAAGTGGAGCGTGTGAACTTAACCACTCGCCCCTGGGGCTGACTCCCTGAAGAAAATTTTTAATGCCCATGTTCCAACCTCTTTTATCTCTTTCTCTCTTTGTCCGCACTTTTTCCATATGCATCACTCATAGCGGTAGATCTCCTTTCTCAAAGGAATGTGGAGATGAACGAAAACCCAGCTCCCCTCTCCACCCGCCTCCCTTTGAGAGGTGTGTATAAACGTGATGCTTTACCTTTCCTGCCTCAGGGTCGCGTCCTCCCTTGCGTGACCGTGCTCCTGTTCTCTTCCTCGCATTAGGTGAGCAACAGCCCGCTGTCAGAAGAGGCTGTCCTGGGATTTGAGTACGGGATGAGCATCGAAAGCCCTAAGTTACTGCCCCTCTGGGAGGCTCAGTTTGGGGATTTCTTCAATGGTGCCCAGATCATCTTTGACACGTTCATCTCTGGAGGTTGGTGTTGGCATACGGGTGTGTAGTGGACGCATAGCACCAGGCTGACGGGGACAAATGAGTGCAAAGGGGCCATAGCTGCTGGTGAGACTCCTGTGCACCAGACGGATTGTGCTGTCATCCATTGGGATGGGTAGCTGTCAGACAGTTAAATTGGCGGCTGGAGGGCTGGGGGCCATTTAGCAACTGTGCAGGGAGCACCTTCCCATCTTTGGGGAATGTGCTTGACTGTAGGGAGCAGTGTGCGCACCTGCCAGCTCTGAGGTCCTTTAACTTTCGGGTCTGCCCCTGCGGTATGTTGAGTGAGTGTGGGATGAATCACAAGTAGGCAATGGTGACATAGTGAGGATTGGCGATCAGAGTGAGTGGCAGCCTTGACGATCCACTTCCCTCCGTCCAGGGACACTCAAGGATCTGCAAGTTGAAAGTTGTGCATCTTTATTATTTTTAATCATCATTTACAAAACCAGTACCTGCTTCTTGTAAAAATTCAAAGTCTGTGAAGTACAAGTCTGAGTCTCCCCCAGGCCCTCAGCCCATTTTCCGGGGGTAGCCGCTCTTGCATTTTGAGTGCGCCCTTCAGAGCCTCGCTGTGGTTGCGTTTCTCTGTAACTTTGTAGCTGTGAGGAAGAAAAGCTCCTTGAGGAGACTGGGCTTTGATATGTGCAGAGAGATTCTTCTCAGTGTCTGTGCCCTCAGTTTGAGGACAGTGGCCTGTGTGGGAAGTGGTGCTGTGAAGGCAGATAGGAGCTGCCCAGCCTGGGAGGTGGAATCAGAGTGGCACGTGCTGTCCTAGAAGCCGGGACGTTCACCTTTGAGTTTGTCTTCCACTTCCTGAAGCCCCAGTGCACGTGTCGTTGTAGGGTTTCAGCAGTAGGATGGATATTTTCACCCTATGTATGGGTTAACAGTGCTAGAAAGTGCGTGCAGTAAAAACGGTTTTAGGGGCTCAGGCAGCAAACTAACATCTGTTTCTACCCAAGTCCATCAGACTGTGCATTTTGTTCCTGCTTCATAGAGTCCTTACTCCCTACCACGTGCTTTTCCAGGAGAGGCCAAGTGGCTCCTCCAGAGCGGCATTGTTATTCTCCTTCCACACGGGTATGACGGGGCTGGACCTGAGCACTCCTCTTGTCGCATAGAACGTTTCTTGCAGGTACGTCCAATGTCTTATGGATTCCAAGAAATGTTTTCCTGCTTCCTAGGTGCTTGGAAATAGAACTACCTCCTGCAGATACTGAATGTGCACCTTAAACTGGAAGACGTTGTAGTATTTGAATGAAACAGATCTAATGCAATGTCAGTATTCCCTGGAAACATGATGCGTTGGGTATAATAGTATCACGCTTTTATGGCAATTAAAATGATTCCTATGTGGCAAAGATGAGTTGTTCCTAAACCAGGCTGATCACTGGAATCATCTAGGGAGCTTTTTTTTTTGGAAGATCAGCCCTGAGTTAATATCCGCCAACAGTCCTCCTCTTTTTGCTGAGGAAGATTGTCCCTGAGCTAACATCTGTGCCCGTCGTCCTCTCTTATATGTGGGATGCTGCCTCAGCATGACTCGATAAGCAGTATGTAGGTCCATACCTGGGATCCAAACTGGTGAACCCCAGGCCACTGAAGCAGAGCATGCGAACTTAACCCCTATGCTACCAGGCTGGCCCCTAGGGAGCTTTTCATAAAAATTCAAGGACCCATGCCAGATCAGATTCTTAGGAATGAGGCCTAGGAATCTCTATTTTCATTAAAAATTTTTTTTCACTTAATAATGGTATTTTCATAAAATGATTCATGATCATTAAAAAATTTTAGGGGCTGGCCCAGTGGCACAGCGGTTGAGTTCACACATTCCACTTTGGTGGCCTGGGGTTTGCTGGTTCAGATCCTGGGTGTGGACCTGGGCACCACTGGGCAAGCCATGCTGTGGTAGGCGTCCCACATATAAAATAGAGGAAGATGGGCACAGATGTTAGCTCAGGGCCAGTCTTCCTCAGCAAAAAGAAGAGGATTGGCAGGATGTGTTAGCTCATCTTCCTCAAAAAAGGCCTAATCTTCCTCAAAAAATTTTTTTTAAATAACCATTGTTATCACTTGGTGAGAATCATTACCAATGTCTCTTTATGCATATGACTTACTAATATTTTATTTTGAAAATTTCCAAACATACAGAACAGTTGAAAAAATTTTACAGTGGAGATTCATATGCCAACCCCCTAGATTCTACTGTTAATATTTTGTTATGCTTGTTTTATCACGTATCTACTCATCTATCGTCCCTCTATCGATCCATAAATCCATATTATTTTATGATGTATTTCAGAATAAATGGAGACCCTGTACATCACCCTAAGTACATACATATCATTAATTATTTTAGCATATTTGCAGATAAAATATATAGATAGATGATGGATTGGTAGAAACGTAGATAGAACAGTAAATAGATGGATAGTGATATATTAGATAATGACACAGAGAAATGATTTTATAAAGCAGATTACAGAAATAAATTGCAAGTAAATTAAAGACCTGCATGAGAAGTACAAAACTATGCTTTTTGAAAGAATTATAGGAAACGAGTACGTGGAAGATACAGGTGATATTTAAGGTCATAAGTCTGGATGAAATCATCAAAGGAGTGGTTACAGATAGAAGAGAGAAGTTGTCCCAAAACTGAGCCCTGGGATAGTCAAACAGTGAGAGGCTGCAGAGAAGAAGAAAGGAGACTGAGAAGGAGCAACCAGTGAGGTTGCAGGAAGGTCCTAGAAAGCAAGTGGAGAAAACGTATCAAGAATGAGGGAATATCAAGGTCAATTCAGATGAGGACTGAGAATAAGCCATTGGATTTAGCATTGAAGAGTTCATTTGGTGGTTGGTAACTGTAGTTTAGATGGTGTGGTGTGGGCCAAATCTGATTGGAAGGTATTTAGGAGTATATGGAAGGAGGAAAGTTTAAATAACTCTTTTGAGGAGTTTTGCTGCAAATAGAACAAGGTAATGGGGCGTAGTTGATGGGGAAATTTGTGTCAAAGATAGGAGAAATAACAGCATGTTTGTATGCTGATAGGAATGATCCAGTAGAGAAGAAAATGATGACGCAAGAGAGAGGGTAGAATGACTGGAGTGATTGCTTTGAGTGGGCACGATGGGATGGCGTCCGCGGCATCAGGGATTGGCTGAGATTTTGAGAGGATCATGGTGGGTTCATCTCTGGTGATAACCGGGAGGCAGAAAATATGGGTGCAGGTGATAGAACTTGTGTAGATGTTGTGGTAGGGGTCTGAGGAAATACTCTTGGATTGTTAGATGAGAGTGATGATAGAGGAGGAGGTCCTGGGTTTGAAGGTATGAAACTGTCATCTGGGAGAAGAGGAGAATGAATGGATTAGGGAAATAGAATAGTCTAAGAGCATTGAGGGCCCACTTGAGATTCATGGTCAAGGATTTAAAGTGAGATCAATCAGTGTGATTGTGTGTTGTCTCCAGCTACATTCCCTACATAGGTACAGATGTGGAAAAGGTGGAAAATTGGGATCAACTAGGGTTGTGGTTTGCAGTGAGAAAGGGTCAAGGGAGTTAAGGGTGTATGCCAAAGAACGATTAGAATGATTGACTCTGGAATTTAGGCTAAATAAGGATGAGAAAGGAGATGTGAAAAGAGTAAAGGCTAGTGAAAAGGTGATAAGATCAGTGGGTTGGAGGTATCGATGAGGTTGAAGGATTGCTGGAGTCAAAGTGTTAAAGAGAGTTGAGCTAGAAAGGTAGGAAGTGGTGGTCAGAGTGGAACGCATAAATGAGAGTTTATGGAGATATTCCTGTTATTGATCATAACAAGGATATTACCATGGGAATAGGTTGTTGAGGTAGGATGGAAGACAGTTATTGGAGGACGTGAGTTCAAGGAACCAAGAAGCCAAAGTACTGAAAGGATCATCTACGTATACATTAAAATTATCAAATCTGTGTTAATGGTTCTATCCAATCTACCTCATAGGATCATTGAGGCATAGTCAATATATGTAAATGCTTAGAGCAATAGCTGACATTTATATGTATGATGTTTATTATTTTTATTATCATTTCATGTCCTTGAACTGTGATTATCTCGACCCTTCGTTTACATCACTGATTTTACTGTTAGCCCTGCAAAAGGATTAATATATGTGAAGTGAAGAGTATTCGCTGTTTACCTGTGCTTGCTTATTTCATCTGCTTTCATTGTGATTATCTCATTTCTTTTTTGTCCTGTCTGTCCTGTTTCTCACTTATTTATTAGATTTGTGGTGGTAGGTTTCGGTTCTCAGTTGGTTTTCTTAGCACTGCACTCTCCTTTCTTATCTAATTCTGTTGTGTTATCTTTAAAACTATCTGCCTTTAAAAAATTGTTTTTAGTGGTAATAAGAACACTTAACATGAGATCTACCCTCCTAACAGATTTTGAGTATACAGTACAATATTGTTGACTATACACTATTGTTGACTATCAATACAATATCGTACCTAGGGATCTAGCTGATCTCTTGAATATATTCACCTTACGCAACTGAAGCTTTATACCCTTGATTAGCAACTCCCCATTTCCCCTCCCCCTAGTCCCTGGAAACCACCATTCTACTCTCTGCTTCTATGAGCTTGACTATTTTAGTGGAATCATGTAGCATTTGTCCTTCTGTGACTGGCTTATTTCTCTAAGCACAAAGTCCTCAAGGTTCATCCATGTTGCCGGATTCTTCTTCTTCTTCTTTATTTTGGTGAGGAAGATTAGCCCTGAGCTAACATCTGTGCCGGTCACCCTCTATTTTGTATGTGGGATGCCACCACAGCATGGCTGATGAGTGGTGCAGGTCCACACCCGGGATCTGAACCTGTGAACCTCAGGCCACTGAAGCCGGCACATGAACTTAACCACTATACCACCGGGCTGGCCCCAGGATTCATTTTTTAGGGCTGAATAATATTCTACTATATATATTACATTTCATTTAGTCCCTCATCCATTGATGGACACTTAGGTTGCTTCCACATCTTGGCTATTGTAATAATGCTGCAGTGAACATGAGAGTGCAGACATCTCTTTGAGATTCTGACTTCAATTCTTTTGTATATATACTCAGAAGTGGAATTGCTGGATCATATGGTAGTTCTATTTTTAATTTTTTGAGGAACCTCCATACTATTTTCCATAGTGGCTGTACCAATTTTCTTTCCTACCAACAGCATACAAGAGCTCCAGTTTCTCCACCTCCTCTCCAACACTTGCGTCTTTTGTTAAAACAGTCTGCCTTTTGCCTGCTCTGTTCTTTTCCTTTTTTTTATATATACATATGTCAAAAGTTATTTTGGCTCTATGATATTACATTGTTGCTATGTCGTTTCATTTCATCATGTCTTTGGTTCTTTAGGGCAATTCTTCACAGACCTTATACAATAGTTACTCTGATAGGGTGTGGGTGAATTCCCCTTGAATATTGTCCCAGTTGGTACCAATTTACCTTCTTGAAACAATAGTTGAGTACGGGCTCCAGTTTGCGGAGTCTGAGGACGTGGAGTGGGAGGAGAGAGTCCTGCTGGACAGAGGGGTTTTTTTGCTAAATCCTCTGGTCCCTTATGAGATTCAATCACTAACCCCATACAAGGGTCTGCTTCTCTGGTCAGGGATGTATATAACTTCCATGGGCTTCCGTCTGTTTGCTTGGCCTGTGAGGTGCCCTGGAAGAGGCAAGGCTGGCAGCCCCGTCTGCCTCCACTGAGCACTGGAGGGCCTTCAGACTCTAGATTTTGCCTTTATTTTTCCCCCAGGGTTGCCTACGCACACCCCCTCTCCAAACTGGAGGGGACTAGTAAGAATTCTTAGGATTTTGTCAACTCACTTTCTTTTCTCTCCACTGCCCCTGGAGTGGGGTTAGGAGCCATGCCACAGCTTTCTGAACCACCAGTATCTTCTGAGATTTAATTATCGACGGTCCTCGACTTATGATGGTCAGACTTATGATTTGACTTTATGATGGTGCGACTGTGATACACGTTCAGTAGAGATCATACTTTGAATATTGATTTTTTTCCTCTTTTCCTGGGCTAGCGATATGCAGTACAATGCTCTCTTGCAATGCTGGGCAGCGAGCAAAGCTCCCAGTCAGCCCCACAATCGTGAGGGTGAACAGCTGATACAACCATTCTGTACCCATCCTGCCATTCTGTTGTTCCCTTTCAGCACAGTATTCAATCAATTATGTGAGATATTCAACCTTTTAGTATAAAATAGACTGTGTGAGACGATTTTGCGTACTTACGATATTTTCAACTTACCATGGGTATTTTGAGAGATCACTTCATCATAAATCGAGAAAGATCCATATTCACTCTCAACTTTTCAACCTTGTTAGCTGCTTTTGATTTTGTTTTTGTCTTTAAAACAAACCAAACTATGCTTGTGTTTATTTCGTTAGGAGAGTGAGATTCTAACAGTGCTTCGTTCCACCATCTTAACCTCATAGCCATCAGAGTCTGTATTTTTCAAAGGTCCCCTCCAGAGGCTTCTTGCAATCAGCTGTGTTTTGGGAACAACCGTCTTAAAATACACAGAATTGGGCAGACGGGGAAAGCCATCCGATCTCTCGTCTGGTTAATCTTCACAAGTCATAAATTCACCTTCTGGTATTTTTCTGTAACGAAGAGGAATATATTTTCTCCTTCTGATGGAGAGCCCTGGGTTTCCCTTCAGCTAGCATACGTCATTGTGATTGAATTAGATGATCTGAACATTCTGTTCCTTTCTTTCATTTCTCTCCCAGATGTGTGACAGCAGAGAAGAGGGCGTAGATGGAGACACGGTGAACATGTTTGTGGTCCACCCGACTACTCCTGCACAGTATTTTCACTTGCTTCGGAGACAAATGGTTCGGAACTTCAGAAAGCCCCTGATTGTTGCTTCTCCTAAGATGTTACTCAGGTTCCCTGTAAGTAGAAAAACTGGTAAAAAAAAAAAAAAGAAAAACAGTTGGTAGGACTTTCTCCTTTTGTCATTTTTGTACTGCATTTTCCTCTATCTCTGTATTAATTTACAGTTCTGAATTACAGACACATCTTTGTAGTTTTAATTGCCCATGCTGCTTTCTCTCTCTTTTTTCAGCCTTTCAAGAATAACTGGATGGGCCAGCCCCAGTAGTCTAGTGGTTAAGTTTGGAGTACTCTGTTTTGGTGACCACGGGTTCAGTTCCTGGACGCAGACCTACACCACTTGTCTGTCAGTTGCCATGCTGTGGTGGCAGCTTATGCACAAAAAGAGGAAGATTGGCAACAGATGTTAGCTCAGGGTGAATCTTCCTCAGCAAAAATTAAAAAACACAAAATACTGGAAATATAGGTAGTGTTCAGTTTCATTGTAATCAAGGACGGGGATAGCAGACATTATCCCCCTGGTATGCCAGTCTGAGCAGAAATAACTTTGTAGAAAAAGTTTCAAAGTCCAAATGGCCTAAGCATGTTGATAGTAGCAAGTTGGGAATTTAAAGTATTTTGATGAAAAGGAGTGGTGTTACTCATTGACTTTTATTTAGATTTTTTCTACTAGCTACACTGAATTAAAAGGGTGAGTTTTCTTTTGGTTTACCTGAACTAAGTGTTAAGCGCACAATATATTTTTTAAATCACAAAAATATGCTAGTTTTCAAATGCAGAATTCAAGATAATAAGTTCTAGTAAGCATATATATCTCCCATCTGCTATAATTTTTTTCAGTTTTATATGAGAGTCTTAATTAGGATTAACATTCAAAAAACATTTACATTTATTTGGATGTTGCTGCTGCGGTGAAATAGGTCAGTGAGGATTTGGCTGTTCAAGACTATCTTGTTCTTCTCACAAAGCTTTGGGAGTGCATATTTGGAATTGAGGGGTGTTGGGGAAAGTTGTGAGCTATTTGCTTTCACTGGTTGTATTTTTAAGCAGTTCCTAGCACTTGGAGGGGAGTAGAGAGCTATTCTCGCAGTTGGCTTTTGCACCATCCTAGAGTGAGTGCTTCTCTAAATTTTGCACTCTGACTCCTCACCTGCCTCACCCTAGTCCCAACTCTGGGAGTCAGTGCCGAGGAAATGCACTTCAGGTAATTTCTACCAATGGCAATGGTTCATTTGTTTGGTCGATTTATTCTCTCTTACCCAACGTCCCTGTGAACACTGTACATTTTGAGATGGCTTCACGAGCCTAGAAACATCACAGGATGCTTTCAAGAAAATTTCGAGAAAAGTTAATGCAATCTCTTCTACAAGTCTTTCTGATGGAACTCTTTTGACACAGATATTTCAAAACAGCAACGTTAAAGGGGCCGAGTCAAAATGAAAATGGCTCTAATTTATTTCTAAGAGGTATATACATCTGGGATTCTTGACCCAACTTTCATTTTACCCCTAAGGTTGTCACCTATGCCCTCAATCATAACTATACGGGAATGTAATGATATTAAATATAATGTATGTAGGTTACCAAGTATTGAGAATTTCTTTTGCTGTTTGAAACTGAGAATAAGAGTTTGTATTCTGGCTCTAATCTTCCACCCCTTGCCCCAAGTCTAATATATAACTTATCCAATAAGAGAGGCCTTACTTGGGAGCCTTAAAAAATATCAACAGCTATCCTATAGATTTCCAGATGAAAAACTACTCCTATTAAGTAGTCAAGTATCTTCTGTAAACATATAAGTCCTTTTATTAATTGAAAGCAAGTATGACCATTATTGAATTCCGATTTCTTCGTGAAAATTGGATTATTGGTACAAGTGCTCTCTCAGAATATGTTAACACTTTATTTTGATCGTGTGTTTGGAGATGACTGGCCATGTGGCAAGCACGCCGCAGGGTTATAGGGAGTTTGTGTGGCACGTGGTCCCTAAATCCCATCCCAATTTCCCACCCAACTCTAAACCCTAGCTTCGTTTGATTCCTATCATAGGACGTGGGGACTGACAAAGGGATCTGGTTCAGAATGGAGAAAGATCACACATTATTTAGTAATGAGAATAGCTGAATAGTTAATATTAATTTTTAAAGTTATATCACAAGATCCCAGCATCAGTGTGGCTGCCCTCAATGGCCTAGTCAAAATGAGTCCTGTACACATTTGGGACTAGACTACAGGGAAATTAACTAGATGATAGCAAAAGGGAGCAAACTCCCAACTTTGGCTTCATCTGTTTTCTACTCTGAGTTCTTTGCAACAAGTATTTGTTTAAATTGAGCTCATTAATGACATTTCTTTTCATTACAGAAATATTCATGTTTTGTTCCTACTTGTTCTGACCTGATAAGGTTTCACTTATAAAGCATAGTCAAAGCCCTAAAGACAGAAATAATTGCCCTAGCTTAGCTGTTTGGGTTCACAATATAAATTCTATAAAATGTTGTTTCTAATCTCCCAAAATTGAAGCATATTTTTTATTGATAATAAAGTTGTATGAACAAACTGAAATTTTGATTCTTAAACTTTTATCATGGCACCAGATGAAAGCCAATCTTATGTAACCTTGGAAAAATAATTTTATTTTGAAGTATATAGAACTGATATTTTTTGGAAAAGCTACCGTGTTTATTAGTACATATGTTTACTTATAGTCCCAGGTGAGAATTTTTTTTGGGGGGGGCCTTGTGATTTTTTTTTTTATTGAGGTCATAATAGTTTATAACATTGTGAAATTTCAGTTGTACATTCTTTTTGTCAGTCACCATATAAATGTGTCCCTTCACCCCTTTTGCCCACCCCCAAACCCCCTTCTCCTCTGATAACTACTAAACTGTTCTCTTTGTCTGTGTGCTAATCTTCCACGTATGAGTGAAATGATACAGTGTTTGTCTTTCTCTGTCTGGTTTATTTCGCTTACCATAATACCCTCAAGGTCCATCCATGTTGTTGTGAATGGGACACTTTTGTCTTTTTTTATGGCTGAGTAGTATTCCATTGTATATGCACACCACATCTTCTTTATCCACTCATCAGTCGATGGGCACTTGGGTTGCTTCCACTTCTTGGCTATAGTGAATAATGCTGCCATGAACATAGGGGTCCATAAGTCTCTTTGAATTGTTGATTTCAACTTCTTTGGATGTATACCCAGTAGTGGGATAGCTGGGTCATATGGTATTTCTATTTTTACTTTTTTGAGAAATCTCCATACTGTTTTCCACAGTGGCTGAACCAGTTTGCATTCCCACCAGCAGTGTATGAGGGTTCCCTTTTCTCCACATCCTCTCCAACATTTGTTATTTTCTGACTTGGTAATTATAGCTGGGTGATAGTTTTGGTACTGTTTCTTGGTAAAGATCCCTTATAAGTAAAAGCATCTTCGGCTCCTTTCCATTAGTTGATAGACTTACGGCTTTTTTTCCCCCTCCTTAGGCAGCTGTGTCAACTCTTCAAGAAATGGCACCTGGAACGACATTCAAACCAGTCATTGGTGACTCATCTGTGGATCCAAAAAAGTAATTTGATGTGTATCTCTGTATTCATACTCTTCGGTGGAATTTTAGTGAGTGGAAAAACTAGTTCTTGTTAAGGAATCCAGAGCGACTCAAGTCGCTTCTCTCCTTTGAGTCAGTGGAGTAGAAGTTAGAGTACACATGGGAGGGCGAACTTTGGAGGCGCATGTTGCTCAAGAAGCCTTGCCAGGGCATAGCGTATGACTGAACCCAACTACAGGTCCCCCACTGCCTCCGTAGTGAAGCAATTCTATCTACATGGTCTCCCCTTTCTTCTGATACAGTTCTTACTTTAAGATATTTCTCCCCCATCCCATTGTCCTTTTTCTACTCAACAGTGTTAAGAGTCTAGTGTTCTGCTGTGGCAAACATTTCTATGCCCTGCTGAAGCAAAGAGAATCTTTGGGGGCCAAGAAGCATGACTTCGCCATCATCCGAATAGAGGAACTCTGTCCTTTCCCGTTGGATTCATTACAACAAGAGATGAGCAAATACAACCACGTTAAAGGTAAAGGGTCATTCTGGTTAGGGTTCTTTGGTTTTCAGATATCTGAAACCTATTTGGACCATCTCAAATGAAAAGAGGTTATGGGGGCCAGTGAGCATTATTAGAAAATTGAATCTGGTGATATGAAAATTATACCAGGAGAGCCAATGTCTCCATATCTTTTTTGGTGTCCCTTTCAGTCTTCCCCCTTCTCTCATCTGACATCAAATTTCTCGAGAATTCAGAGGAAGTCAATGCTATACTATAATTTATGATAAATCCATTATAAATGTAAAAGACAAGCCTTTCCAACAAATGGGGCTGGAATAATTGGATGTCTTTATACACCTTGTACAGAGATTAACTCAAAATTGATCACAGACCTAAATGTGCAGCATAAAATTATAAAACTTCTAGAAGAAGACAGGAGGAAATATTCATGATTTTGGGTTAGGCAAAAAATTCTTAGATATAACACCAAAAGCACATCCCGTTAAAGAAAAATTGGTCTTTATCAAAATGAAATCCTTTTGCACTGCGAGAGGCACTGCAAGGAAAATAAAAGAGAAGCCACAAACTGGGAGAAAATATTTGCAAATACATATCTGACAAAGGACTATCCAGAATGTTTAAAGAGCTCTTAAAACTCAACAGTAAGAAAACAGATAATTCAGTTTTTCAAAATGTGCAAAAAGAATTGAACAGCCATTTTACCGAAGAATTGGATGGCAAATAACCATATGAAAAGATGCTCAACATAATTAGTGATAAGAGAAATGCAAATTAAGCCAAAATGAGATATGGCTACACACCTATTAGAATGGCTAAAATGAAAACAAAACAACAAATCGACAATATCAAGTGCTGATAAGGAAGCAGGGCTACTGGAACCCTCATTCACTGCTGGTGGGAATGCAAATTGGTACAGGCACGGCGGAAAACAGTCCGTCAGTTTCTTATACAATTACTCATAGAGTCACCATACCACCCAAGAGTCCCACTCCTAGGTATTTACCCAAGAGAAAGGAAAACATGTTCACAGAAAAATCCGTATGTGAATGGCTATGGCAGCTTTATTCATAATTGCCCAAATTGGAAACAACCAAAATGTCCTTCAAGCAGTGAATGAGTAAACCATCTGTGTGGCATCCATGCAATCTCACACCACTCAGCAATAAGAGAGCAAGCTATCCACAAGATCACAGGTGGATTTTGCTAATTCAAGGAAGCCAGGCCCAAAAGGCGACATATTGTGTGACCCCATTTATCTGACATTTTGGGAAAGGCAAAACTGTAAGGAGAGGGAAAGGTCAATGGTTGCTAGATGTTGGAGGTGGGAGGAGGAGTTGAGTACAAAGGGACAGGATGAGAGAATTTTGGGGGTTGAGAGAATGGTTCTGTATCATGATTGCCGTGGTGGATACATGACTATGCCTTTGTCAAAAAAAAGGCAAGTGACCCTGTGCCACATTGGAGAGGCATTTTATAAATAATTTAGTATATGTATACATATACATATATATCGTGTGTGTGTGTGTATGTTGTATATGTTTACTGGAGGTAGTGAGATGGAATTTCTGCTTTTATAGACTTCATTTGGAGCCAGGAGGAGCCTCAGAACATGGGTCCATGGTTTTTTGTTTCTCCGAGGTTTGAAAAGCAACTGGCCTGCAAGGTAATAGCTCTTTTTCTTTTGGAGTGTTTTGTGTGTGTGTCTTATTTCTCCTGGAGCACCAACAAATGAGTTCACCCCCGTCGTCAGTCCAGTTTTTTAAAGATAAACTAAAATATAAAATCTAGTTTTAGAGCATTCTTTCAGAATAAAATGCCAAGTGTTTTATCTGTACATAGTAGTATAGGTGAAAAAAAAAAAGAGGTTATACTCAAAAAGGGAAAAACCCTTACCTGTCGGCTACCTTTCCCATTAGCATGCTCAGCATTCTTGTCCTAAAGGTCAGCGTCCAGGCCCTGGGGGAGCAGGGTGACGGGCAGAGTGATGAGCGGGCTTGTTTTACAACATGGAAATAGAGACGCCCAGTAACGCTTGTTCCAGGCCTGTTCACACAGCTTGTATACATCAAAGGCCAAATCTTCTTGATTATGCTTTAAGAAAGGAGAAAGAACAAGAGCAATTGTGCTTCTGTTGTCTATTCTGCTTTGATTAGAATTCAGTTTCCTCGTTTGAAATTAGTTTGCTCGGCTCAAATCATTTTCACATGTAAATAGTTCTAACTTAGGAAACTCTACAGCTAAAACCAACTAATAGTTACTGAACCATAAGGCAAATTCAAGAATTTATCTCACCTTATCATGCCTGGAATTTAGTTAGTAGCTTTTAGTTGTGACATATATCTCCCTCCAATCTATTCTAGGTAGCTAATTATTTTTCCAAGAAAGTGATTTATGGTTAAATAAGCTGACAGAAATTCATGCACCTCCTTGGAGGAACTAAGCAGAGCTCTGATCTTGTCAAAATGTCATTTTCTTTCTTTTCTGCTTCATTGATAGCTGCGTCTGGTGAGCCGACCCCCTTTGCCAGCACCTGCTGTAGGAATTGGCGCTGTTCACCTGCAGCAGCATGAAGATGTCCTCACCAAGACCTTTGCTTGATGAAGTCCTTTGAAGAAATCCTACTGCCTTTTAAGAAAACTGCCACAAAAAGGAAGGCCTTCCTCTCCTCTCTCCTCCTTCTGTCAGGTAACGTGAAAAGACTAGATTCCTCCAGGATGTTGAGATTGATGAGAACAGTTCAACCTGGAATACGTGGAATAGTCAAAGGAATCGTTCATCAATACAGGAACCTGACAAGTACCTTTCATCCTTAAAAGTACACTCGTGTTTATTTTGGTTAGATCTGAGTGAGTTGTGTAGCTAGGTCCTTATCCAGATGTTTTCAGACTCTCCTCTTTCTAATTAACTTTCTATACCCAGGAAAAGTTCTTTAGCCTGAATTTACAGCTACATATAGATTACCTCAATGACTTGCTTGGTGCATGTCACTTTCGTTGATTTTATTCAAAGCCCTGTGGACTACCAATGTGTTCATTTTATGTCGTCTCTGGTGCTGCTTTCCAGCTACTGTGAAAAATGTTTCACCAAACACTGTAGCAAAACTATATTGGTTTGTCTTCTTCAAGATCGTTTTTTCACCCATTATCGTTAAATATAGGTCCTATTAAATATGAATCTCTGGGTGTATGATCCTTTTTTTTTTTTTTTTGAGGAAGATTAACCCTGAGCTAACATCTGCTGCCACTCCTCCTCTTTTTGCTGAGGAAGACTGGCCCTGAGCTAACATCCGTGCCCATCTTCCTCTACTTTATATGTGGGACGCCTACCACAGCATGGCTTGCCTAGCGGTGCCATGTCCGCACCCAGGATCCTAACCTGCGAAACCTGGGCCGCTGAAGCGGAATGTGTGCACTTAACCGCCGTGCCACTGGGCTGGCCCCTGGGTCTATGATCCTTTTGCATGGTATTATTAAGTTAAGGAGTTTTAGCTACAGTGAAATTGATTTGTGATCTACTTTGCCACGGTATCTTTTTTTCCCTAAATTGTTCTAGCAATGATATCTTGATATTTTTAATTGACTTTCGGTGTCTGACATGGGGATTTCAGCCCTTGGTTAATCAGTCTTGCCTCTGAAAGTCCCTGCTGCGGTGTGATGTTTATTGATGGTATTTAAGGAGCACGTTAACTTTGACGGTGGGAACTTTCCAACACCAGGTACGTGGGGATTTCTAGAAATCACCAACCCACTCCCTTATTCTGAAATTTAACTCAGTACTGGGAGAACAACTGGACAACAGCAAACCATAGCTTGACGTGGCTTGGTGCTGCAGAGGCTCTGTTGTCTACCATTTTTGTGCTGTGACACTGTTCTCAGAAATGATGGGGGAAGTACCGAGCTGCTGGAACGCCCTCTCCACTTTTACTGGCAACTGATGTTGTCTTTCTTTCAGAATCAATGTATAGGTTGTTCTGGCCACAGCAGTAGACTCACGATTCACATCTTAAACGTGTGCATTAGTGTATTGACTTAATATTCTTGTAATATTCACATCCCTTTTTTTCCTATATACCTTAATGCTTCCTCCCTGCGTCAAGCCTTATACATCAGGTAACTCCGCGCCACCCATGTAAATCAGTGAAATTACCAAGGTCTATTTAATGAGAACCCAATGTTGTATAATGAACTATAAAAAAATAAAAGCACAGTATCATTGTTTTCAGATCTCTTGGTTTCTTGAGTTAAAAAATTTCAAAGTCTAGATTTTTTCTTTTAGTTTAGTTTCCGTCTCTCCAGATTTCTAACTTTACACCTCATGTCTGTTGATGGTTTCTTGTTAAATCTTCTCCAACTTGAACCGTGAAATGTGTCTTCTGTATCTTACCCTTCTTGCTGTCAATAACCTCTGACACACGGTCAGCATTTTGAATTACCTTGCAGGAAGGGACCATTTGAAGAATTCCCAATCAAATGCTCCCATAATAAAGCATGGGATAAAAATATTATAATAAAATAAAATAAAAATATTTTACTTTGTTCCTCTTAAAAATTTGATAGTGTGATATTTGTACCCCATTTACATTTATGCTAAATTTCATATTCAATGAAGATAGAGTTCAAATTGGGTATTCAGTGGATAGAAATATTAACAACCATGAAAAAATTTTCATTTTGTTTAAAATGACACATTATTCTTAATAAAATAAAATATTTTTATAAGAACTATTTTGCTTAGTTTCCCTTATTTTCCATACACGTGCTATAAAGAAAAATATTCTAAAGCATAGCCCTTTTTAGTCTGACTGTATTACCTTTGAAGTTTTATTATATTTTAAAATTCATTGGCTGACAATAGAAATAGTATCCCTTTTACAATATTGAGGAAGGGGGGCCAGCCTGGTGGCGCAGCAGTTAAGTGTGCACGTTCTGATTCTCGGTGGCCCGGGGTTCGCCGGTTCGGATTCCACGTGCGGACATGGCACCGCTTGGCAAAAGCCATGCTGTGGTAGGCGTCCCACATATGCAGTAGAGGAAGATGGGCATGGATGTTAGCTCAGGGCCAGTCTTCCTCAGCAAAAACAGGAGGATTGGCAGCAGTTAGCTCAAGGCTAATCTTCCTCAAAAAAAAAAAATATTGAGGAAGTACACTTTAAAGAAATTAGAGGTTACACTTGAAGGAAGTCACAGATTAAGAAGCAACACTTCTGGGTCTTGAGGTTCCAAAAGCTTTACCGCTATTTCTCTTGGATTTACGTGGATATTTGGTTTTCCTCTTCAGCTTCTCATATAGTTCAGGCTAAAACTATTATATTTTTGGGAAAATAGGACAAAATATTTAAGTCCTCAATATTCATAATACATGATTACACAAATAAACAACTTCTAAATTACTCTAGAGAAGTAGTAATTCATTGTCATGTTTGTATTTAAATCTGATAAAGCACAATCTAAAGCAGACTGTTATTTCCCCATTGCCGATTGCAAAATCAGTTAATTTTGGAAAACTATAGTTGATGTACAATATTAGTTTCTGGTGTACAACATAGTGAATCGACCTTTATATACATCATGAAATGATCACCATGACAAGTCAAGTAACCATCTGCCACCATACAAAGTTATTACAATATTGACTATATTCCCTATGCTGTACGTTACGTCTCCGTGACTTATTTACTTCAGAACTGGAAGTTTGTACTTCTCAATCTCCTTCACCTATTTTGCCCATCCCGCCATCCCCCTCCCCCATGGTGACCACTAATTTGTCCTTCGCATCTATGAGTTCATTTCTGTTATTTAGAAAACTTTTAATAAAAGTATATTCCTTTGCTGTTATTTCCCTGTGTCTTCTTTGACTTATATGGAGAACCAGCTATAATTAAAAAAATAAGAAAGGACCCTATAAGAGTACAATGGTATTTACTCAATAAATAATTATTGGACACCTATGCATACATAGCATTGTTTTGGACTTTAGAAATACACAGAAGTGGGGCCAGCCCCATGGCCAAGTGGCTAAGTTCATGCGCTCTGCTTTGGCGGCCCAGGGTTTCGCCAGTTTGGATCCTGGGCGCAGACATGGCACCACTCGTGAGGCCATGCTGAGGCGGCGTCCCACATGCCTCAACCAGAGGCACTCACAGCTAGAATATACAACTATGTACTGGGGGGCTTTGGGGAGAAGAAGAAGAGGAAGAAGAAAAAAAGAAGATTGGCAACAGTTGTTAGTTCAGGTGCCAATCTTTGGGGGAAAAATAAAGAAATACATAGGAGTAAAGATAAAATGGATTGCCCACTGTCCTCGATGGACTAACAATCTATTTGAGAAGACAAAGCATTTTACACGTAGAGAGGGAGATGTTCTTGTTGGGTGTGCTACAACAATGTGGGAGGTCAAGGTAGAATGATATTCCTGATGTGGATTGGGTGGCATAGTGTGGTTATACAAGCAAAAGTCCTGAGTAGCACATAGTCGTAGAGAGACTGAAGAATATTGGACGGGTAATTTACCAGTTATCTAGTGTGTCAAAACTTATTCCCAGACTCTAACTTGAAACATGGAGCTGTCTCAGAAATAGGCAGGCAAGAGGTACTGGCTACTCTTCTCTTTCTGTCAATAAGATTTTCAATTTACTGCATCTGTATGGAAAGGATGTTATTTTCATGAAATTAGCTCACAATCGACTGTCAAAACTCTATTTAAGTCAACCACTTGCAGGATATTGTAGACACAAAAATTAAGACCCTCCCTGCCATCCAGAAGTTCATGATGGAGTAGGGGAAGTTAGACAAGTATGAAAATGACTAATACAAAGTAGAATGAGGTAAGAACGAAGTCATAGGATGTGAGATTATGACTATGGTAGATTGTATTTTCCAAAAGTCACCAGAGCAGTATTTTGTGTGCCACATGCTCTTCCAGAACCTTGCCATACCTCCATATAGAAGTGGAGTCTATTTCCCTTCCCTCTTGAAATTGAGCAGAACTTTGTGGCTGCCTCTATAAATACAGTGCCCTGAAAATGATGCTGGGTCACTTCCAAGGACATGCCTTGGCACTCAGCTGCCATGTTGTGAGGAAGCCCAGGCCATGTGGAGAAGCCCTGTGGAGGTGTTTGAGCCGACAGCTTCTGCTGAGGTCTTAGCTGACAGCCAGTGTCAAATGCCAGACTTGTGAATGAGTGAGAGAGCCTTTTGATAATTTAAGTCCCCAGCCTTGGAGCTGTCCCAGATGACTCCAAGTGGAGCAGAGACCCATGCAAGCCCAGCCTAAATTGCTGTATGTATATGTGTATGTGTGTGTGCACGTGTATGTATATGTATACAAGTGTGTGCGTATATTCAAAGATAAGCAACGCCAGACACTAATTAAAGTGGTAAAGACAGATTTTAATCCATAATATGCTATTTTAGTAGGGAAAGAGCCCAAAGCGAACTAAACTCAACTTTGATTTGTACAAAGGTGGCTGGAGTTTTAAAAAGAGAGTGAGGGACTAGGGAGAGAGGTGAGTGGGGACTCAGCGTCAGGGGAGTGAAAAATTACAAACAGCTGGAAGGAAGGTTTGGTCCACATGAAACTCATCTGGGTTTGTTAACTGGTGCTTATGGGAATCCGGCTCCTATCCTCCCACAGAGGCTGGGAGACGGAGATGGAGTCCCTATCTTCACGTGTTGGCTGGGACAAACAGTAAATTCTTTTGGCAGCCTTATGCTTTCCTAGGCAGACACTTTAAGGAGGCTAGGGTCATCCTGGGGATGGAGCTGTTAGAAACTATGTTTGCGTTTACTCAACTCTTTACAGGCCTAGTGGAGAAAGGGCTCAGAGGAGCCTGGCTAGAGTGTGGAAGGAGAGAATCTGTCAGTGTGCACACACAAATATTTTCTTTCCTTCTTGGACAGAGATCTAAGCGTTGATGCAAATAATCCATAACCAATCTATAAATCAAAAATTGGGGTGAGTTTATTATGAGCCAGATCTGAGGACCATATAGCCTGGGAGAGTCCTCTCACAAAGGAATGGAGCACTCCGAAGAAGTGAGAGTGTACACAGCAGTTATATACTGTCAAAAAGCATATATCACATATGATTGGATATTTACAACATTTTACAACAGTCACGAGATTACCTAGCTGGCCCAGTGGTTCACACACAGAGCAATTGAACACAGCAGGTAG